CACAGCCCTTTTCTCCAGCGTGATGCAGGTATGATTATTTCTACTCAGTATCAGAGCAAAAAAGTGGCCCAGCCAAGGCATGGTGCCATCCTGCTGGTGATTGAACCTAAGCTAGGTAAAATAGGTGGTTGTGGATGCAGCAATCAAAAGAGACAAGGTAGAAGATGGGCGAGAGGACAAAGAGAGGCACAAAGAGATGGTGACTTCCTTGAAGAACTGCAGTAATTCAGCTGCACAAAGAGAATCTAAGGCTGCGAAGTCCTGCTCCTGTTCTTCATCCTCTGGTAGTTTGACCATTATGGGTTTCTCTTTTACTGAATTTCTCCCGATTCCAGGAAGGCTCTGGGGTTGTGCTACGTTTTGCTAAAACCAGAAGTATCAGATTCTCAGAAAGAGACTAGTCTTCCGAGGTTTGCAGACCCGAACTACTTTGAAAGGGATTTTTTCCTCTGTTTATCTGAACTCGGAATGAACTGCTGAAATGTTTGAGGTTTGTCCCTAATAAAAACACTGTTTTGAATCACTGAAATATTCCACAGCATAAATATGGCCTTCAAAGTGAGCAGAGGTGGTTGTGCTTTCCTGGGACATGTTTTGCCTGGAGTCAAGGCTAACTGTTACTTTAAATTGATATTCAAAGACGCTGAAATCTTACAAATTGATCCCATACAGTTTCTGCCCTTCTCCTGAATGATGGGAAACTTGCTCCTGCAGCCAGAGTATGAAGATTCATTTGAATCTGAAATCTGTAAAATTTGTATTCAGATCTGAACCTTTTTTGAGCATCACCTGGAACCTGCCAGTGGGACTTGTGGGTTAAACCACTCTCCATGCTCATTTTTCCTGACTGTCTCCAGCTTGGAAGTTCCTATTCCAGCCTCCAAATCTGGCCCTGTGGACCCTCGTACCAGCGTGACAGCATTGCCCACCATCTCCCTCATCGCATCCGTTGTGGGGATTCCTGAGCGTTTTGTAGCCTCGTGCAATGCCGCGTGGTTGCCATTTGGCCGTGTTCCTTTTGGCCTGTCCTGTCTCTGAAAACCTGGGCCAACGTGAAGGTCAATCATCGCAGCAGCAAAAGATGTGGAGATATCCAAAGCTGTTGAGGGGTCATGCTCTCTCGCTGTCGTTTGAAAAAGGAAGTTTTCACTGATGCAGTTTGGAGCCCGATGGTGAGCAAGTAGTTTCCCCTGCCAGAGTTGTTAAGGTTTACAAAGTATTTGGCAAAAAATACCACTTTAGAACTACTCTCTTGGAAGTGCATCATTTTGATGCCAACCTTTGTTTGTTAACCGTTCCTTGCTAGAAAGGAAGTTGCATTTCGTGACACAACCACATCTCAAGCAAAAAGCCTGAAATTTCTTTTTCTGAGAAGGTCAAAACAAGACATTGCAGCAATTTTAAAGCTTTGTTGCAACTTCATTTTCTTCCAGCCAGGAAGTTTGACAAAAATAAACCTTGCCATGAAAAGTTTTGTTTTCAGCAAATCAACTATTTTTTTTTCCCCCCAGAGAAAAAGGCTTCTGGAAAAATTCCTGCTCTGGGGTTGGCTTAAATTTGAACAAAACAACAGTGTCTCCTAGTGGCTGACTCCAGGGGAATGGCCAAATCCATCTTGGCTTTCAAGTGTCTCTTCTTTGACCCTCCTCCTAGGTCTTTGCTCATCAGGGAGTGAGAGGAGTGGGAAATGAATTGTGCTCTAAGCAACAAACCATTTCATAAGCCATAAAAATATCTATGGCAGGCTGTTTTCTAGGCTCCAGTTGGTGCAGAAAGAAGGTAATTACATTTGAAGGCTGTATCACTGGATGCTTGGCTCATCTGCTGTTCAGCTTCCACTCTAATAATACAAAAGCTCGCATCAGCAGCTTAGCCAGCATGCAGGGCTATCCATCCTTGTCTTTGCCCAGTGGGTCCTGCCTCCGTGCCACTGCAGGATTGTGCTCCAAACATCTCACGTTACAGCAGTCCTTGTCATCGAATTAGTTCTGCCTCACACCAAATATGATCACTAAAGGATGATGAAGATCTCTGAAGCACAATTCGCTTTGCGATGTCAGCCTGCTGTCCGTCAGCCGTGCCCGGGTGTCCCCCTGTCATCTCGATCTGCTGGATCAGCTCCTCATCACAGCATCTGAGCCACCTCCTTGTCCTCTCCTGTGCCTCTTCCTTGTGACCTCTCTCCCCTCCCCTGAGAGATGGCTGCGGCTTTTCTCCTGCACTCTCTGAACTCGTATCTGAAGCAAAAGTTATGGCGCTGGAGATTAAGCAGTGAGGACACCCAATTGTCGAAGGACATTGGCAAATCAATTCAAGCAATGATACCGGCAGATTAACTGGTTGCAATGCCATGCATTCAACAGGCCACAGAAAAATCTTGGGGTAGGCTTAGAAAACATGGGATTTTAGAGAATAACAACTGACAAATTCTTTTTATTTGCCTGAGGCTGTTTTTAAGTTTGTTCAGCTTAGGCTTTTCAGGCTGGACACTGACTTTTTTGGTAATGACTCCTGAGATTGTCTTGCCATATTCACATAACTCCAGGATTAGGGATTTTGAAATGATCACCAGCTATCCCAGTTTTCATGATAAAATTGTGACTCTTGGCAGCACATCTGGCAGCAGCAAGGTGAACTTTGAGAACTCTGAATTAAGTTTTGCTTTAGTGGATGAGACTGCTGCTGTATCGCGGACTACAAGGTACTGTAGGACGCAATGGGCAGGTTCTCTATGTTTCCCAGCAGAAAGTGCTACGGAACAGCTCTGTCCTTCCAGAGCTGCCCAAGCTGCGTCTTCCTTGCTGATGATTGTGTCATTAATTTCCCAGCCTCAACACGCTAACGAGCCATCCTCGGCCTGCCATGAACACCCTGTCCCAAGGAGCCCTCAGTCTGCTGCCGAGAGACGCAAGAATTTAGCAAGTTATTTTTCTTCTTGTTAAGAATGCCCTTGTATAAACCCAGCTGAGGGGAAGCGGAACGTGCCAGCCGCACGCTGCTCCTGACAAATAGCTGGAGGACACTGCAAGCGTGGTATTCCGTCGCTGCTGTGGCTTACAGCGGGACAGGCGCCTGCAAGCCCACGGGGCTATTTCAGGCTCAGTCTCTGTTGGGGAGCTGGTTAGATGCCATCCTAGAGCAGCCCTTTTCTTCAGCTGTGTTTTCATTGCAAAGGGAAGGCCTTTACTCAGGTTGTTTCGGCATCGTCAGGGAAGGGAATAGCACGGAGGAGCACTGATTGGTGTTAGGGAGGGAATCGCCGTCCCTGCAGCAAGGAAGGTGTGAGGAGGGCAGCCCGGTGATCGTGCTGTTCAGGTGCGCTGTGCAGCCGTCTGGGCCACCCCTTGCTAGAGGCTAAACTGAGAATTGCACAGTCCTTCCCCTGGTGTCCCTTAGCAATTAGTGTATATGGATTGTAATCATGAGGACTGAGGCTCTTAGTGCTCTTTCTCCTGGATAAATGGTTGAGCAAAAGACAGTCTGTTGCATAAAGTAATTTAGCCTATGAATGATGGTTCATTAGCAGCCCACAGACTGTCACTGCCTATAGTAGTGTGGGCTCTTTCTGCAGTCGAGTTAACTCTTTCACCCTCTCCTTCAGTTGCCAAGGATTCGGTTTGCAGAGCGTGGAGTTAAATGTGGCTGTGCCACAGTATTACAATGGTCTTCTCCCTTCAGAGCCTTAAATAATGCAACAACATCCCCAAGAAACTGCCAACTTTTAACACTGTCTAATGACGGATGGGGAATGAAGGAAGCTATTATTAATCAAGAGATGAGTCAGATATGAAAATAACACCTTTTCCTAGACAATATTATTACACTGAGGAAATGAAAAAGACTCATTTTCTTTTCCAAAGGAACAGGCCTTGAGCATTAGAAATGCGCATTGCAGAGCCTGGTGCTGTTTGAGGGAGTAGCTCCAGTAAGCGAGCAAACCCCATCTCACCTTTGCATCTGTCCCAGCTGTGCCACGTTTTGGAGCCTGGGTGCTGGGCAGACATTGCTGCGCTTCCCAGGAAAGGAACATCTAAGGCTTTGTTTGAAAAGCAAGATTGTAGCCCAAGGTAATTTGGCGCTGGTGATAGAGGAGGGGAATGGAAAAATCAGTTCTTGGATTTAAGCTCTATGCAGTCTCATACACTCAGAGAAACCCACGCAGATCCTGGAGGGAATCCTGACACTCAGGGCCATGCTGCTGTCATGTTAACAAAATCTGCTGTACATTACTAACCAGGACTTCAGAAGGAAAAATCATCTTGGGGGTTTTGGGGGACAATTTCCAAAAGGAGATAAATGTCTCAAGGGAGAAAAAACCATTGATCCTATTGACTTTCACTGGTATTTGTTTTCCTAATTCTCTTAAGAGATGTTTGCAAGAGAAGTGCTTTGTTTGTCTATGAATAGAGCTATGCTGTATTGACAGTGGTCCTGCTTTGGATATAACAGTATCCATAAAGCTCTGCTGGGGTCAGTGCAATAAAAACAGCCTCACCAATGCAAGTCCAAATAGAAGCCTTAGAAGCCATTCACCTAGATGATTGTATCTTGCAACAGTGAACAAGCCCTCTCCTTTGTATAGCTTTAGGTCTTTAGGCCCGTATATGGGGCACAGTGTTCTGCAGCTGCTCCAGAAATGGGCTGGGATTCTGTGTTTCCAGTAAGACTCACAGGGACTGGCCATGAGACTTGTCTGCTGTTCCCCTCAGACATTTATCTGCCTCCATGGCTCTCTGGAAGCAACACAGGAAGATGTAGCATTTGTGCATCGTTAGCATAAATCCCAGAGTGGGAGGAACATACCAGCCTTTAGCCATTTCCTCTGTGCATCTGTTTGACCATGTTGCTTTTTTGCCCCATAGCCGGACGAGTTGACCAACGCCTTGGAGATCAGTAACATCGTCTTCACAAGCATGTTTGCCCTGGAGATGCTCCTGAAACTCCTTGCCTTTGGCCTCTTCGGCTACATCAAGAACCCGTACAACATCTTTGACGGGATCATAGTTGTCATCAGGTCACTGGCAGTTCTTTCTCCGCTGTGGCTTTTCTGCCAAGGGCTCAGACCAGTTGGGGAGTGGGATGGGGAACAGGAATGACGTGGCGTGTGTTAATCCAGGGCTCACTGGCTATGATGTGCTATAATTATGCTGGCCTTTTAGATTCCTGTCGTTAGAAGTGCTGTCCAAAGTAAATGGACCTGGGAGATGGAGAACAAAGTCTATTTACGCCACACATCTGGCACTGTGGTCAATTTTCCACTGAAGTGCAGAATGTCTGGTCCTGGGAAAGGAGTACTGTGAGTGTCCATATCCCAGCGTGTGCCCTCCCTCTCCCAAATAAACACATAACTCAGGCCGGAATAGGGCAAGCAGTGCTGTTCACTCCTCGATCAGTAAATTTGGGGCAGAGAAGTCAAGGGACACACAGAAGGTGTAAACCAGGATAGTGCTCTTGGCTTCAGTTGGCTCATCCATTAGATTCAGAGAAGCGAGGAGGAACAGAGGCCCAGAACTGTGGCCTGATCAAACCAACCCACCCCAAGAAATGTAAATCCCTCTGGATATTGTACAAAATTGTGATCCACATTTTGTGGCTAGGCTTGTGACTGATTGTAGTGATACAGACTAGCAGGAGACATGCCACGTTGTGAAGAGCCACAGAAAGCAAGGGAATTAAAGAATCAGCTAGAAAGGATATAGGTTGTGCATGAGCATGTGTGTCTGCACAACTGGGAAGTGAAGGTGTTTTTCAGAAGCAAGAAAGTAGCAGGCAAATAAACTGCCCCTTTAGGGCTTAAATGGTGTGATATCCTGTAAGAAACCAGCCTGCTCGGGGCTTTCACAGTACGGTACTGCTGTTTATAGTACTTCTCCTTCTGGTGTTCCTGCAGCGTCTGGGAGATCATCGGCCAGTCGGATGGAGGCCTCTCTGTGCTACGAACTTTTCGGCTGCTCCGGGTGCTGAAACTGGTGCGTTTCATGCCCGCCCTCCGTCGCCAGCTGGTGGTCCTGATGAAGACAATGGACAATGTAGCCACCTTCTGCATGTTGCTCATGCTTTTCATCTTTATCTTCAGGTACCAGAGGCTGCAGCTCTTCTTCAATTAATTGTTCAGCTTGCTTAAGTAATATGTAGATTAGAATAATGATACACTGCATTTGCTAGGCTGCCTACATGATAGAAGTGCTCACAACAGACTGACAAGCAAACACTCAACAGACTATTTACCTCTTTTTGGTCTCAGTTTTTCATGCAGTATTGTAATTCTGTAGATGAACGAAGTACACAAACAGGCAAGAATTGCTCTGGAGTTCTTGGGAGGCTTGTTTAGCTGTGTCTCAGGAAGCTGTCAGTAGCTGGACTCTACCAGTGTTATATTTGAGATGGAGGTTGTACAGACTCCAAGACTTCTGTCTGTTCCACCCTATAATACTCCTCAGGATCCTATTCTTGGAAACCAGTTGGATTAGGGAGCTGGCAATATGGTTTGTCATTTTCTAGACAAAGGAGATCCCTGATTTGACTTCAGAGTAGACAATTGTAATGAAATGTGACACAGAAGAACCAAATGGCAGGGTTTGATCAGTGATCATACCAGTGGTGGAGCAGAGCCCTTCTTCCTGGGAGGCAGCCCTGGCACAGAAAACAGTGTGGGTGAAAAGCATCCACTGCAATCACTGCAATCCTCCTTGCAACCCTGGTTCACACAATAACGTGTTTCTTCCATCTTCCTTTTTTCCCACTCTAGCATTCTCGGCATGCATCTTTTTGGATGCAAGTTCAGCCTGAAAACTGATACAGGAGACACAGTTCCAGATAGAAAGAATTTCGATTCCTTACTTTGGGCCATTGTGACCGTATTTCAGGTAAGCTCTGGATCCTCTGGGAAGTTTTAATGTAGACCACCTGGACAAGTTATTTCACTTTTAAAAAAAACCCCTGTTCTAGTAGGTCTCAAATTTGGACTGAAACAGCACTGTAGAGTTACTAGGGCAAAGCGATTGTGTTTCTGAGTTAGCTGGTCTCTGTAAGCCGTGATAGAGAAGCAGTCTACTCAAAATCATCACTGTGCATATTTGTTGTCAGTAAAAGTAAAGTCTAACAAGGCCTGGAAATCCACCCTTATTTTCCTTTCATGTAGTCAGTAAGGTCAAGACCCACAGTCTACTGTCCATTCTGCTGCTACTCTGTAGATCTCTGTCCCCTTACTTGCCTTCACTGCCTCAAAAATGCACTTTGCGAACAATTTCATTTAAGTGGGAGTGACAAATACTGTCACAAATCAGAGGTGGAGTTGCTGGCTCTATATGCTGGGAAAGTCTTTATGTAAAAAGTTGTGTTTCCTCTGCAGACAGGATCTGTAATGTGCTTGAAATTACTGGCATATTCCACAATGGAGCAATAAGCTGCTATTTCCAGGACATTCTAAATATAAAGATTAGTCTTTTCTGTTTAAAAGCTCAGTCTTCAGAGCCCGAGTGCAGCAAGTGAGGCACAATGTAAACAACGTTAAGCTAAGTTTCTAAATCCAGAGTAGGTGTTCACCGCGGTATCATTCAAGGTAGAAACCAGTCCAGAGTCTTCACGGTGAAGAATATAACTTCTTGCAAAGTTTTCCTTCTTACAAAGGAGCAAGGACAAATCAGCATTAGTCTCACAGGTTCACATTTTTCTTTTACCAACATAAACAGAGATTTCTGCATTTATTCTAACAGTCCCTTGGGAAGTAGAGTTGGCACAGAGCACAGGGGCTCAGTCCTACATCCCGTGAAGGTTAATGAATGGCATGACTCAGTGCAGCTGACTGCATTCATATTCCCAAAGCTACCTTGTTTTTAGGAGGGTTAGAGGCCATTTTCACTGTAAGCATGAATTAATGTGGAGGATGAATCTGTCATGTTTCTCTTAGGCCCCAGGATTTTTGAGCCCCAGGAAAGCTAGAAGAGTGGGAATCCCTGAGGAAGGTCTCTTGGAGCAAGGCTTTGCAAAGATGTGTATTTTTTTTGCCCAGCTTGTCAGTGCTTTTACCTAATGGAAGCCACTTTGCCTCCCTGAGTTTCTTGAGCCACCCAATGTCATTTATCTCATCAAATATCATGTCCCCTGCCCTTTCCCTCAGCTCCAGATGCCTTATAAAGAGCAGCCCGAAAGGAGACAGCAGCTCTGGCCTCAGGTCTGTTATCTTGTGGTGGTTATCAAAGGAGGCAATATCGCCACCAAATAATGGGACTCGTACCAGCGCATCCTTCATGTTACCATATCTAGGATCTGAACGAGTCATCTCTATGAGCAGCGGTGTGCTCAATCTTCCTGCAGAGAGGGGAGGTTTGGCCAGGAGAGAGCTCTCACATGCAAAGATCTAAATAAAGGAATGGTTTGCTGTCTCATCTCATGAGACCTGCTAATGATTATGCTCAGAAAAGGTCAAAAGGAGAGGAAGAAATGGATGAGTCGCTATTTGAATGCAGCTGCTGTGCATGAGAGGAGTGGAATAATTAGAGAGTCTTCCCCTTCACCTCTCTGCAGATCCTCACTCAAGAGGACTGGAACGTGGTCCTGTACAATGGGATGGCGTCTACATCCTCATGGGCAGCACTCTACTTTGTGGCCCTGATGACCTTCGGCAATTATGTGCTCTTCAACCTTCTTGTTGCCATTCTGGTAGAAGGCTTCCAGGCAGAGGTAAGAGATATGAGCAGAGGGAGGGAGAAAACTGAGAAGCAGTGTAGGCAAGAGTGTCGTGATGAATCCATGTCAATGCAAACATCTAGCCATACAAGCAGCCCTAAATTTAAACTTAAGGGGTGTAGATGAGCTGGGTTGGGCTCGGGAAGCTCTTGTGAATCTATCTTTGCAAATAAGGTGCACTGGACTTGGCATGGGACTTGGGAGACCAACACTTTGGTTGATCTGCTACAGGGTCTGTTGTGTGACCTAGAGGAAATAATTTAGGATTAATTTAACTCACAAAATCTCCCATATGTTTTGTGTTTCTTTATGGCGGGCCTCAGGCCTTCAATATATCTATCCAGTGCTAGTCATGGGGACCAGGTAGGATGTGAACTGGCTCTCAGTCCAGGCCTTCCCTTTGTGACTCTGTCCCTTATGTGTTATTTGAGGCTAGTAGCACAGCTATTCAAAAGCTGCGTTGCAAGGTTACAAACATTAAATTTTGAGATACTTAGGATGATGTAGGACATATAAATGCTAAAGAGATTTTTTACCTACACCTGAAAATAATGTCTGTATCAGGTCAATGAGCAGGGAATTTATGATAAACTGCAGGCATCTCATCTCACATGGAAAGGATTAGAGAAATTATTTTGTTTCTCAGGCAAAGGTGATATGCTGTGTCCTGATCTGAGCTAGGCAGGAACAATAGCAGCTGTGCAGGCAATCCTGTGCCACACGATGGAGAGCGGCAGGCCACGCTGGTGTGAGCGGTGCAAGTGGTATAGTACTGGTGTGAGTGGGGGGCCCATGCACCCTCTTAAGTTTTCCTCCCCACTGGCAAGTCTACTCCAGGTCTGCTTTCAGCATCCTGAGGGAGTGAAACCAGCCATCCCCTGCCCTATCCTGCTCTTCTCCATCTTCCTTTCAGCTCATAGCAAGTCCGTTTGTGGGAGATTTTAAGTGAGGATGATCTGTTTCGGTTGTAAATATAACAATATATGTGCACATATATATTGTCCAGGAACAAAATACTTTTTTCAAAGTCCTAGTGCAAATGGAAATGATTTTGAGACTTACCAAAAATCATCGAGTCTCAGTTAAAGCTAAGAATAGTGGCATTGAAAGGGCTTACGTCGTGCTTTGGGATTTTTTAATTATTACTTTTTTATTTCTGCAACCATCAAGAAGGGAAGCTTTGCTTGGTGCTGCATTGGCTTCAGAGACACACAGACTGAGAAAGAAAATGAGAAAATGGCTTCAGTTTTCACTGCCTTAGCTCCCAAGGGAAAGAGGAGAAAGAAATTATTTTTATAAGGGGTTTTTTTTTTTCACTTTCCATTGTTTCCCCAGAAATGGTATCGTGCTCTCATTTGCCGTGTTTAGATCACACTTAGATGAACCTTCGCTGACCATGGAATATAATTGAAATATTCATGGACTGAAAATTCACTTGTCTCAAGCCAGCACAGCCACATGTATGTCTTTCAAGGATATCTGTATAGATTCATTATTAAAACATCCCTCCTAGCTTCCTTACAGCACTAGCGGAAGAAAATTACTTGAAACAACAGGAGCCAAGCCCCAGTTTGGAAAACAACCACCCCAGTCTACATCACTCAGGGCTGTTTCATGGATGCTGAGGGTGGTGAGTGCCACCTGCGTGCACAGAGAAGACACAAGTAGTCCAGCTCATTGCTTTCAAAATGAACGGCTCTGCACTGCATTAGTGGGCATTTTAATGTCTTGTGCAATGTGGTCCATGCCCTGAAGATCCAGCACAGCTGACCAAGAAGGTCTTTTTCCAAGAACAAGCCTGTACTCCATGTGTCAGTGACTAGGGCTCATGCTGACACTGTTTATTTCCAAATTCCTGTAGTTTTCTCTGTGTCACCGATCTCAGCATCTCCTGGCTTTGCTCTGGATACTGTAACACTTTTGCCATATTGCTGTTCTAGTGCAGCCTGTTGCAGATAGAGGTGGGCATTTTAGCCACTAACCTAGTAAGACCAAAGCAAAGGAATCATCAGTATTTCTACAGGCTCTGCAAGTAGCTGTTGTCTTCCAAGCCAGAGGGGGTTTTCCTCCAGGAGAGTTGTAGCTGTATTCAGAGTGGTTGTGCTGGACCTCAGTTCTGACAGAAAATGACACAGGCCATAGCAGACTAAAGTCTGTGGTAAAGTAATAGATTTTTCTGAACTGAATGCAGAAGCAACCAATACAGTTGGCCATGTGATAGCTCAGAGTATTCAGTGGCCAGACGTGTCAGATATCCTCAGATTCCACCAGCCAGCAAATCTGGGTGGAAAAAGCAGGCATGCCAGGGAAACCCAAACAGACGATAACCAGCACGTGTGACCTGACTGACTGGAAACTGCTCCTGCTCAAGCAATCTCGCATTTAGGCACAGAGAGCCCTTGTACAGCAGTTTGCATCCTTTGTTCCTGATTGCTTTAGTCTTCTCTACTCAGCAACCTGGCAGCTTGCAGGTATCTTTGTACGGTACAGATCCCATTCCTTACCTGCCCTCTTGGAGCTTGAATCACCTGCTAATGTGAAGCAAGAAATGGGCAGCCTCGCACAGTACTCTCTGAGTGTGTGGTTACAGACCTAGCCGAATGGCTGTCGTTTTCTCGCTCAGGCTTAATGGCTCCTTTTGGAGCTGTTACGGACCATGATTTAAATGTGTGTAAGGAGTAGTTTTCAAAGCTTGTATTATTCGCTCAGTGCTGCCTCAGAAAAGGCCAGCAACCACAGGCGTGACATTTGCAGGGCACATTTTGCTCTCCGCTTCCATTTTTTATAAATCCTGACATTAAGCCTATGGGCTTGTCAGTTGGCTCATAGTGAGGTATTAGCTGTGTTACAGAAAACCCTTCTCAGGGCTATATTTCAGCTACCAGGGCTCGATTCAAGTCTTGCACTTATAAATGCATAACTTAGCTCTGGTTGTAAACCAACGATGTTTACAGTCTCCTTGGACAACTCGCAGGAAGAAGTATCAGTGGAGCTGGGTTTTCTTTTGTCCTCCCTGGTTCTGTTGGTATGCTGGGAATACGGCAGAAATTCTTGTTTTGACCTCTGAGTTTGCCCTCTTATAGGGTGATGCCCTTCGCAGTTATAGAAGACACTGAGGTGCACTTCTCCTCCCATTGCTCAGGTGTTTCTTGTACTTAGATGGAGAGTGACTCCTGGGAGACTTGTGCAGCTAAGAGGGTGCACATTAGAGCTGCTCTAAGCTCTGAACCATCAGCAGCGTTTCAGCAAAGACACTAAAAATTGTGCTGTGAATCACAGTACACAGTCTCATCTTGACCTCAGGTTCTGATCTGCCTGTGGAGCAAGTTTGGCAGGAGTATCCCTAGAAGAGAATAGGCTTAAATGGCCACAAAAACATTTCTAGTACATTTGTGCTTAGGACAACAAGCAGCCAGACTTCAAACAGGACCGTTATTGCATATTTGTGCTCACATTGTTCCCATGTCATTTTGAAATCTACCCCAGAGCTGCTCTGGAAGAGCAGACAGACCTTCCAAAATTATGCAAATCTTTCATCTAGTCTGCACTAGCGCTTCTGCTCCAAAACAGAACATGAGTAAGGGAGCTTAAGCCTTTCAGTCATCCTGTCTGTTTGGCTGCATCAGTTCACAATACATCACAGATGAAATTAAGTTCACTGCCACTTCAGCACCATGTCTCTAGAAACCATGGTGATTTGTTCAGGCATCAGTTAAGGAACTGTGCTCCCTTTTCTGGGATCAGCTCCTTTAATCCAACCATTTGCTATCAATTTGCACGGCTTTTCTGCAGTCTTGATGGATCAAGCCAGAGTCATGCCGACAGCCTGCTGCAATCTCTCCTCTCTGCAGACCTCCCCCAGCAGAGGAGAACCTGACAGTAGCTCTTCTGTCCTGGGCTTGTACATTATCTAGGCTGATCATTTTTCGTAGCAGAGGCAGAGATGTATGAAAAGGAAAAATAACTGGACTTCCAGGAGGAAAGCCAGTCTGAGGGTGGCTGGCTGTTCTCTGTCCTGAGATGATTCTGTGCTGCCAGCCAAGCTGGCCCCATTCCCTTCTGCCTCAGCCTCAATGTTGCCAAGAGATTTCCCAATACAATCTCGATTACCAGCCAGCGTGAAGAAAGCAAATCAAGACTGGGTTTTTAGATCTAAGTCAAATTTACAGTGCTGTCAAATAAAGAAGAAAAACCCTTCAACATCCTTTGACGTTAAAACCTCAGTGCTTTCAGCTGGGATCATAGAGAGGGTGAATATGGAACCCCACAATGCCAATTTTTCTTAGTCGCTCCTCTGATTACAGCTGCCATTTCCTGTTCTCCCCTGGGATACGCTGCTCAGCAAGGCTGGGCTCAGTGGAGGAAGCATGACAACATTGTGGGAACAGCAGTCACAATCACAACATCATCCTTTCTGTACAAGTACGAAAATGAATCAAAACGAGGAGGAGGGACTTGCTTGGGGTCATTCCCCAGGGCAGTGTCAGAGGGAATTTGGCATTCTGCCCTCCTGGTTCTTGGGGCCACAGTTAAACTAACCATGGGGAGCTGAGGTATCTCTGAGCTGCTAAGTAATCCAAATGGCTGTTGTGCTAAAGTTTAAATGAATTGGGTCTGTTAATTATCCTTCTCTCTGCAGGGTGATGCCAATAGGTCAGACACAGATGAGGACAAGACATCTGCCAACTTTGATGATGATTTTGAGAAGCTAAAAGACCTCCGAGCAACAGGTGAGATTTTGTTTCTACATTTTCCTGGGAATCTGAAAGCTACAACTCTGCTTCTGCACTCATCTTTTCATACAGACTTATGGGAGAAAGTGGAAGAATCCATTTTATTTGGCAATTAATCCGATAGCTGTGTTAACAGAGCAGCTATGCGAGAAGTGTTGGGAAAGCTAAATAAGCATTGATATTTCCTTTAAACAGATGTTTTTTTCTAATTTAAACTATACTAGAATATTTGGATATGTCTCATCGTTTCTTCTGTATCATTACCACAAAGTGGTTTGCTGACAGCAATATTCTCACACTACTTCTCAGCAGCTTTTCAAATCAATCATGTTCTCATCTGGTTTTTTTGGTTTCTCACACAAATGCATTTAGGTGAGGTTTGAATGATGGAAATGTTGCTGTTCATTTGTGTTACAGGAGGGCCTGGCAATTGATTTGAGGTAAGGCCACATTGTACTAGTGTACTATAAACATGGAATAGTAGGTGACAGGCCTCACTCTATAAAGTTTGCAACCAGATAGGGGACAGGAAGGGATCACATATTTTAACACAACGAATAGCATGATGGTAAACAGGATCCAGTTTAGTTCCTCTGTACTTTGATTCTCAGCTTGGGCTCGTTACGATTGCTTGAAATGCTTCTAAACCAGGATTCGTTTCAGCTAAGGAAGTTATATTGATTGTGGTGAGCAGATGGAATTCAGCTGAGGAAGGGGCAGAAGTAATTTGTTGGGGAAGCTGAGACAGAGCTGCATCACGGCAAGGTGATGGAGCTGCTCAGTCTGCAGAGCAAGCAACAAATTCCAAACACCAAGTGATTGAATGAATGTCCATTGCAAATAGTTGGCAAGGAACCCACAGCACCAACTATGCACCAGCTTTGCACCAACTATTCACTGAGCAGCTTCAAATAATAAGAGAGTTTTAGGGGAAAGAAATATTGTCAGCTCTTCTCAGGTAATACAGGAATAGAAAACGGGGCTGAACTTGCCATCAAAGTCCATGAGTAATTGTGTGTCTCCATAAGCCTCATAGGTGCCAACCGGTGACTAAACAGCATAAGGACATTAACAATTCTATTACAATGCCGTTGGTCTGTAAACAGATACACTGGCAAGAGGCACGTGTATGGCAGATTAGCAAATTTTGAGCTGGATCTTCCACCCCTCAAAGTGAATGGCAGTGTTCCCATGGACTTCTGTGGTGCAGATCAGGTATTTGTGCACAAGCCAGGAACTAATCAGATGATACAATAGAAGCACACTGCATTACAAAAGGAGCCAGTGGAAGAAAAAAAGCAGGGGTAATGCACTCGTTTGGATTTCTCACTGCAGACTTGTACTTTTTTCCTGCTGGTCGCAGGTACTCCCGTCCTTGTCCCTCCTTAAGACTGATTCTGCAGTTATTCAACCAGAACCCACTAAGCCCAGTAAAACAGGAGCTAGTTCAACTTTAGTTTTGTGTTTGAAATTAGGCTTTTGGGTTTGAGTATTACAACACTCCATAGGACTGGATGTGTTATGTCTGGTTTGTCTTCAGTGTGAATATGTTTTTTGCGCTCTGTACTTGCCACACAGCTGAAATAGGTGCTTTCTGCAGTTGCCACAGAGATGTGCCATTAGATTTCTCTGTTACAGGAGGTTTACTCTTCTAAACGGGTGGATGTGTAAAAGCAACCTCCATTTCCTGTCCCCTGAACAGATGACTGACAAGGACTGATGTTTGCTTAGTGCCTTCCCCATAAAGGAACTTGGAGCACATCAGAACTGCATAAAAATCTCTGTGCCAGACTATGACAAGGAGAAGAGATTAACTTCCTAGAGTGAATTTAGCCAGTCCTCAATGTCCTTTCCCTGGAAACTCTCTCCCAGTCCTGCAAAACTGTAACTCCACTTTCTAAATCCCAAGAAACAGTGAGCAAAAGAAGCTTCCTTTGGAGGGCAATGAGTTGCAAGTCCAGGCAGGGCCGAAGGCCTCTTAAAAGGTTGTGACATTTGCCTTATGCCTTTCAGCATGGTAGGGGTGATCTTATTGCCCGCAACATTTCATCTCCATTTGGCAGAGTTCCTAGAAGACCCGAGGAGTAATGTCCATTTTAAAGAGTGGTTTCTGTAGCTGAGCATTCACCTCGTATTCTCTCTCCCCTTCTCTCCAGAAATGAAGATGTACTCGCTTGCCGTCACCCCAAATGGACACCTGGAGGGCAGGGGAAGCATGCCACCTCCTATAATCATGCGCACTGCTGCCACACCAATGCCCACACCAAAGTGTTCCCCACACATGGATTCAGTGCACACTTTTGTGGACTCGAGGAGAGGGAGTAACGCTTCGCTAGACCCCTTGAGCTACGATCAGAAGTCCTTGGTAGGTTCCTATTGGTAACAACTCTCCCTCAAGTGCCCGCCAGTGGCACAGATGATATATGTGTGTGTGTGCACACGTTGCCAAAAAATAAAAAGGTGGGTGATAGAGGTGAGAAGTATGTGGAAAGGCAGAAGGAGAACAGAGTTGAGAGGGAGAAATGAATGGGTGTGCTATGCTGGGGCAGGACAGTTACAACATAACAGTCAAGGACAGTGAGTATATGAAGAGGGGAGACAGGGATGTACTGGGATTCAGTGTTTTCCTGCCTCGTATCTGATTGGAAGTCCATGCCCAGCCACCTCACTGGAGAGGCGCAACCTGAGACAAGTCATAAGTTCATGCAGTTATTCCAGCAAACCCCTCTGAGGAGGAGCAGGCATCTTTCGCCAACCACACTGGCCATTTTGTGGTGTCTTGGAGAAGCTGTCAAGTGTTCCTGTGAGGATGAGGCCTGCTTCCCCCCACAGTGTTTTAGGGTTGCGTCTTGAATCCACCTTATGGCAAGGGAAATGAAGCATTTGTCCTTACCAACACAGGAGCTGAGCTCTGGTTACAGTACGGCAGCCCCATTGGAGGGGAAACAGAGGAAACAAGGTATGAGCTGACTGATTGCCACCAGACACAGCTCATGGAGCAGAGGTCTGGCTGGAGCTGACTGCTACACAGCTCATGGAGCAGAGGTCTGGCTGGAGCTGACTGCTTTGGCAACTGATTGCGTTTTGCCTGCAATAGGGGAGCGGGAGGGCAGCTCTGTGAAAACAGAGGGAGCAGAGTTAATAGACAAAGTGGATTTCTGCTGCTGCTTATCTATCCCATTCCTCTGCTCTGTAACTGCAATATCATGTTCAAATCAAGGCAGCGGACCGTGAAGGCACTTCACGCAGAGACAGAGCCACTATTCCCTTTGGTAAGCTGCTTAGTCAAGGTAATGCTTTGGAAAAGAAAATAGAGATGACTGTTGTTTACCTTGGGGTTTCATGGGATTGTGAGTTGCTGGAGAGGGTTGTTTATTGTTTGAATCCTTTCTCTGAGAGCACATCAGTGCCACCAGCCAAAGGAAGATGAAGCAGTCAGAGGAGAGCTGGCCAACACTGAAGAGGAGGAGGAAGGCAGTTTGCCTCATTTTGTGCTGGGAAGAAGCCATGGAGGGAAAAGGAGTTTTCCTTCTAGCTTTTCTGCTCTGACCTTAAGTGCTCTCATCCTGGCAACAACCTACCAGCCAAAGTGCACTGACATGCTGACCAGTGCCAGAAATTTGCTGTAAGGGAAACATTCATTCCACCTCCTTATGCAGCAAATTGAAGAGAAAGTGCTACAGGTGTAGTTCAAAGAGTACCTTCAGTGTGGGCTTAGCTGGGTGCTTGGCTCCCATCTCAAGGCATTGGCATGATGAAATCAGAGCAGTGAGGAAAGCTGGAAGGGGAAAACATGACTTGCAACAAGAAGGGTCTTCCAGTCTGGGCAAAATGCCATATCCTTTAGCTTCCTTCTGCAAACAAACCCTCAAATGTCTTTCTCCTCTCTCAGTCCAGCCTCCGCAGTTCCCCTTGCGCCAACTGGGGCAGCAGCAGCAACTGGGGAAGCCGCCGCTCAAGCTGGAATAGCCTGGGCAGAGCCCCGAGCCTCAAGAAGAAGAACCAGTCAGGAGAAAGAGAGTCCTTGCTCTCTGGGGAGGGGAAAGGCAGCACAGACGATGACTCCGATGACGCCAAGTCCAGCACAGTCAGCAGGCCCTCGTTGCACCGCCGGGCCGAGTCCCTGGACTACCGCAGCTCCCTGGACCTGCCTGAGCTGCTCCAGTTGCCCACCATGCGTCACTCGCTCAGTATCAGCCCCATCGCCGTTCTGCCTGCCGAGTACCAAGACTGCAACGGCAAGATGGTTCACGTCCCCAGCGAGTTCTTCCTGCGTGTCGATGGCCACAAAGAGGACGCCATGGACTATGAGGATGACATGGAGGATGTGAGTTGAGGGAGAAACTGGGCATTCATGCATTAAGTGGCTTTTCCACTCCAAGAAGGCTGATTAAAAATCAGGCTTTGAAATGTGTTACTGCCTAATGGCTGTTGTAGACAAAGTGAATCCAGATCCAAGTGATGGGCAATCCACTTCCCAAAAAGGTTTTTTTTTTTAGCTAGTGGGTTGGGTTGTTACCTTGCAGTGGTCTCTAATGATGTAAAACTGCAAGGGATTGTGTGTGCATTTGCCTAGTTTTTGGACTGGTTGAGATTGTCCCCCTGGCCCAGGATGCCTCCAAAAATGAGCTGTAGACACAACAGCTGGCTAATGTCTTTGCTCACAAGAGCTGTTTGGCATCTTGAAGGCTTGAAAGCCTAGAAAGAGTGTTCTCTATTTAACTTTTTGGTTGTTTGAGGCCTTTTTGGTTTTGACACAACTTTGGATCTCAAAATGATACCTGCCTGGAAAGTCTTGCTTTGTTATGTTCATACCTCACTGTACAGCAGCCCCTTTCTTCCACCCCTTTCCTCCCTGTTTTGTTGGACGAATGTGACAGTGCCTGCCACATCTCTGTCCCAAAAGCTGTGAATCTCTACAGGTGCTATGAAATGCCATGTACTGCCCCCTTTCACAAAAGGACTGTGAAAGTTGAAGAGGCAGGAAAATAAAAGAGGAAGAAAAGATGTTTCTTCTTTCCTATCCAGAGTTACTGCTACCGAATTCGTAAAGTCCTGGAGCCCTACAAACCACAGTGGTGCAAGAGTCATGAAGACTGGTCCCTCTACTTGTTTTCTCCACAGAATCGGTAAGAAATCCCAGTGAAATGCCAGCCGACCAGGTTTTTGTGGTAACGGAATACTACATTTCTAGCTAGTCCTCCCTTGAGAAAAATCCCTCTCTGATGCAGAAGCACTGAGAGTTTTAGAAATCCAGTTCCTGATTTTTAGGTAACTTTTTCTGTTATATGTGGGCAGAATTGTTGCATGGTTCACTCCATGCCTGTCTAGGAAGAAGGGTGGTTTAACCAGCATTAATAATAGCTGTTACTACCTCTTGTTTACTGCATTGAAAATAATGGCTGAAGTTTGTGGAGAGACTAGCTCACCACCTGGGCTGGTGCTGGTGGCACAGCTGCTGAAGTCTTCCAAGGATGTGCCATTTGGGTGGGAGTCTCGTGCTGACCCAAACATCTGAAGGATATTTTTCTCCCCACCGTTTCTTCAGGTTCCGAGTGATGTGCCAGAAGGTCATTGCCCACAAAATGTTTGATCACGTGGTGCTGGTCTTCATATTTCTCAACTGCATCACTATAGCACTAGAGCGACCAGACATAGACCCACACAGCACAGTGAGTACCTGAGTCATTTTATTCCTTGATGCAGCATCCAGATCTTAGTCTTGTCAGGGAAAGACCCTGCAAGATGAAAGATGTTTGTTTTCTAATGTCGTTAAATAACTTGCCTCTTTTTGTGGTTCTGTATTTTACAGGAAAGGATATTCCTAAGTGTTTCGAATTACATCTTCACTGCAATCTTTGTGGCTGAAATGATGGTTAAGGTAATTACATCTTCATCCCATGGCCCATAGTGAGGCCTAGCAAAGACCAGAACATGACACAGTTATGATCTGGGTGAAGAATTAAATGTTTCTCTTCTCCTGGCTGTAGGTGGTAGCTCTTGGCTTTTTCTCTGGGGAGAACACCTATCTGCAGAGCAGCTGGAACGTCCTGGATGGAGTCCTTGTCTTTGTATCTATCATTGACATTATTGTCTCCATGGCATCAGCAGGCGGAGCGAAGATCCTGGGTGTCCTTCGCGTTTTGAGACTTCTGCGGACCTTGAGACCTCTCCGGTACGTTCACCGATGGGGTGGCTGAGTCTGTTTTGTGTTGATAGATTAAGGAGTTTGAAAAAACACACATGATCCATCAAGGTCTTGCTTAATAACACAAAAAGCTGAAACACAGTATGGGTAGAATCATCTTTGGGGAGCTCTTATCTAGTGAAACTGTTTGAAAACAGTGAAATTAGTTGTAATACAATTCATCTTCACCAGCATGGAGAAGAGTGGATGGAGTTTGGAGTGTGAGATGTTACCATACTCAGGCAGTTAGTGCAGTGAATGCCTCCTCCGCGCTACATTTTTATCACCGTTTTACAAATCGGTCTGGCTCCTTGTTAAACTGCACAACCTCGCAGTCATTCCCAAGCAAAGAGGTTGCGTTGGCTGGGAGAAAATTTGCAATTGAACAGGTGCTGACAATAATTTGATAAGCTCCAGCATCTATACCTGCTCTCCCGTGCCTGCATATCTAACATTACTGCACAACAATTTAGCTCTCAGCTAGGAAGAGGAAGGGGAGATGCTTTCAGTATTTGAGAAAAGGAATAAAGAAAATTTGTATTTTGTTTACGATTATGCAATAACAAAGAGTGTTAATGCTTGGGGGATTTTTATCAGCTCACGGCTCCTGTTCTATTTCCATCCTGCTTGGCAAGAAACACAAGCCTTTTTTCATGAAATTTCAGGGGAAATAAGATAGGCACCTCCTGAGACCTGTAGGCTTTCTGATGAAAAGCTGCTTGCTTATGAGAGTAATAGGAAGAGGCAATCTTGTTTAGGCCCATGACCACGAGAACAACAGCTATTTGTCTGCTGCTCCGTATTTCCATAGCGACAAGTAGCTTTGTGAGTGTTTCTGTCTCCTGTCTTGCTCCCATGCTCTGTACTGCTGGTGACATCGGGGTCCCCTTGCGGTGCTGGTTCACCCAGAGCCTCTCTGGGTCACCCTGGACAAGCCTTGCCCTGGCAGCACCTCGGGGCACCTGTCTAACGCACATAACTAGGAACAGAAATCAGGGCGTAGGCAATTCATAAGTAAAAGTAAAGGGAAAAAAAGGAATGGGTCTGGGAGAATAACTAGGCCAGATCCTATTAATAAAGAGGAATTCATCACCTCTCACGACAGCTTCACTTATCACAGCCTCTTCTAGGATTACTCCAGGGACTATTTCTAACACTTTGTAGGTGCAGTTAGTTCAGACTGCCACATTATTTGCTGCCAAACAAGACCCTGTTGAAATGCTTTGTCCCTGCAGCATACAGCTCTCCTCTTTTCTCTGTGTTTGGCAGGCATGAAAGCATTGTTAGCCGTGCAAGCTCAAGCTACCTGCAAGGGCTCACACCCTCTCCCCTCCACAGGCCCCTCCTAAAAAAAGAGCTTTGATGTTCTTCAGTCAAAACACCCACCTTCCCAGAAAAGCTTGCTTGGGCTAGTTACACTTATGTGTGCAAACGCATTTTTCACACGCCATGGGAGAGCCATTTTCCAGGCAGTCATACAGGAAAGGAGAACACTTGTTCTCCATAATACCCAAAAGCTGCTTCAGGCTGTGCTTAGAGCATGCCTGGCCTCTCACAGCAAGCAAGCAAGCAAGCTGCTGCTTAATGGGATGACCCTTTGGCTGTGGGGCTGCTGATCACAAGTTCCTGTTAGCTAAGAGTCAGTACAGGAACTAATTAGGAAACAAATTGAAATTACTTTGTTTGAAAAGTTGTCATGGGGCCCAGGCCAGTAGGGCAGGTGAGCACTTATGCCTGTAGAAAAAGGACAAGACGTGGTGTCTAGTACCACATGTTGGGTTAGGAAGCAGGCTCCTGCCTGGTGTGTGCCCCTCTGCTTGGATCAGAGAGACCTCAGAGGGGATCAGCTCTCTGCACTGAGGTACAAATAGCCCCATAGTGGGAACCTCTGTGACACTCTGCCCGTAGAGCGTATTCTCTCCTGACTGTTACTAGTAAGCAATTGCCCAACACCCTGCTGACAGGGTGTCTGACACTTTTTTAATTCCATCTAATTGTCAATTAATTCCATCTGACTGTGAATGTTCTGGTTGTCCAAATAAGTCACTAATCATCTCTGAATGCTGCCTGCAGGTAGAAGAGGGTTGTGTTAGCTTTACTGCAGCCCAAGCAGAGGAGGAAAAGCAACCACATAATAACAGGGCATGCATAAAAATTAAAAGCTTTATTGTTTTGCCATTTTTTTCCAGAGTCATCAGCAGAGCCCCAGGTCTGAAGCTGGTAGTAGAAACCTTGATCTCCTCCTTGAGGCCTATCGGGAATATTGTTCTCATCTGCTGTGCTTTCTTCATTATCTTTGGGATTTTAGGGGTCCAGGTAGAGTATTTCCCTCATCACAGCCATCTGTAAGTGACTGCTGCAAAAAGAGAAGCTGTTTTTCTCACCACCTGGTGTGAAGGTAGAAGTAATGAGCTTAAATCTCTCCAAAGGAAGATTTCAGTTAGATGTTAGGGAAGAAGAGGCAGGCCTTAGAAGAAATTCTCTGGGGTGGGGTTGGCATCTGCTCATTGGCAGGTTCTCAGGATTAGAATAGTAGACCTCCCTGATGAACAATACAGCACCGGCTAAGCCTGCCTGAGGGTAGGGGAAGAAAAAGACAGATTCCCAAGATCCCTCCTGGCTCTGTGTACTAGGATGTATATAATATCTCTTCCTCAGAGGGGAGATTGTCATCCTCCCAACAAGGCAGGGCAGGCCTGCAGGATCACCTTCGTTCTGTGTCTGAGGCAATACACAATGATGTCTCAGGGCCTGAAGTTTCACCAGAGGTGTTTTCCTGCCATGTGTGTTAAGACAGGTGTCTGAGCTGAAAGGAAAGGAATTTGAGTTTGGCAAACAAGTCTTCTAGGGGAAAGAAAGATAATTCAGGGACCAGACTTTTCAAAGCTGCTTCCTTTTTGTTTTTTTCTTTTTTTGTTGCTTCTCAAATACAGCTTTTTAAAGGCAAGTTCTACTACTGTGATGGTCCTGATGTAAAAAACATCACTACGAAGACCGACTGCACTAACGCCCGCTACAAATGGGTTCGGCGGAAGTACAATTTTGACAATTTGGGACAGGTAAAGTCCTCATTGCGGGCATTTTCTGTACCAGTTTTTAATGGGTGAGCACTTAAAATGTATTCTTTGAGGAGGGTGTGGAACCTCTGTCATAGGAAGTTTCCAAGAACGACGTAGGCATTCATCTATCAGAAGCAACCCTAACTGAGTAAAAATGGGTCAGGTCACCTCTTGATCTCTTGCAGCCGGACTTCCTAGGGTTATACAATTCCTTGTTTTTAGGAGAGTGTTGTCTTAAAGCCACTGCTTTTGTATGCAGTCCCTCATGTCTGGACCTCAACTGTCACCTCTAGTGTCTTGACTTCTAGCTGTTATGTTTGCAAATGAAAAAAATACAGTGCTTTATACTGGCTGAAAAGCAAGACAGCCCATAGTAGGAGCTGGGATATATTCTTGCTTTTTAAAACCCCATGACATTGGGCCAGCCTGACATTGATTTTTAATCATGCTTTGGTGACCAGAAAGCCTGATGCATCTGAACAAAAGTCAGCCTATATGTGAGGGAAAAGGAGCATTAATGACCATAGTTTGCTCACTTTTAAGCCAGATATGGATATAGCTAAAAGCAAGCCACAATATTTTGCATTTCTCCACCACTGCCAGGCCAGATGATGAGTTATGAGCTGTGGATTGGTTTTGTCTGTTGTTAGTTTCTTTTCTGGGCATTAAAATGCAAGACCAATCTTTTCTGTTTGTTTGTTTTCTTATAGGCCCTCATGTCCTTGTTTGTCCTCTCCTCCAAAGATGGCTGGGTGAACATCATGTACGATGGCTTGGATGCTGTGGGTATTGACCAACAGGTAAATGTACTGTGGAGTCCAGACGTGTTGCTCTCAGAAGGCTCGTGCCTGGGTGACTCTGGTGTTTTTGAAGTCCCAGGCAGGAGCAGAGCTATAGGACCTTCTTGAGGTCCTGACTGCCCATTGGGTTTTCCATTCTCCACTGAGTGGCTTTTACAGTGGCTGTGCCCCATGTAGTACACAAACAAGCACTGATGGGGTTTTTAATTAGAATGATGGTACTTGAGGAGGGCCACACATGCAATTGCACTGTGGCTTCACGGAAGGCAGGATGAATAACAGCAAACTCACACAAGATGGGAAACAACCAGGAGTGTTGTGAGAGAGTCATTGTTAAGTTTGTGTGTTATGTGGCATTTGCAAAGGAAAGTCAAGAGTCTTAGAGGAGTAGTACCCCATCGTAACTACAGTAACACTTTGTACTTAATTTTCCCCTGCTTCTGAAGATCTTGTAACAACTGAGAAACATTAACCATGAGCCCATATCTCAAAAAAAAAAAAAAAAAAGCTGGCGCCTCTCTTTAACTAAAATGATCTTGCAGGTGGGATGATGCACATCCACTGAGATTTATCTTAAGCTGTATGAAATAAATGCCAAAATAATTAAATCCTGTAAGCCAACTTACGGAGGCTAGGACGAGTTTTACAACAAAAGTAAAATTCTAGTTGGTGAGAAAGTGAATGAGAGGAAACTGTTTTGGGAAAAATCTCCTAGCTCCTCCCAGCCCTCTCCTCCTCCCCACAAAAGCGTACTGTGCTGTCTTGTTGCTGCAGAGTGCCCAATATCCTGACTTATACACATCTTGTGTATGCCACTTCTCTCTTGTTTTTTAATTCCCCACCCCACCAGCCCATCCAGAACCATAACCCTTGGATGCTTCTCTACTTCATCTCCTTCCTGCTCATCGTCAGCTTCTTCGTGCTCAACATGTTTGTGGGGGTGGTGGTGGAGAACTTTCACAAGTGCCGACAACACCAGGAGGCAGAGGAGGCCCGGCGTCGGGAGGAGAAGCGGCTGAGACGCTTGGAGAAAAAGCGCAGGAGTAAGGAGATATACCTGTCTGGTCGGTAGACTGCATTACAAACCAAAATCTTTCTGAGCCCTGCCTGCTCCCAAAGCAAGACTTTCATTTTCCTTTGGTTTTGTTTCCATGGGATTCAAGATGCTGTTTTGCTTCGTTACCTCTTTGGCGGTACCTTAAGTCTTGGGTTGCCAACACTCTGGAATTGTCCTCTACAAGCCTGGTGTAAAGCGTTACCTGTTTACTTGGCTGCTGGGGAGAAAATCCTCCTCCAAGCAGAGTCCTCTGTCACGCTCTGCAAGGCAAAGGTGTCTCAAACACCGAGTGGGAGTGTGCGATGTGAGAGAGGGATGCAGTGAGTAGACAGCTGCAATGCTTTCTGTGTGCGTGAAGGCCAGTCCCGAGGGTAGCCCTCTGGCTTAATGTGCCGCTTGCATCTGATGACGGTGGTGGTTTGATTTATTAATTCTTTTCTTAGACAAAATAATTGCGATGCTTTTTAGAGTCCTAGCGCATGGCCCCGCATGCCACAAACATGCTGCATGAGGGCATGAACACACCGACAGCCCTGGGGAGAGGAATGGAGCCCCAAGAGGGGGCTGTCAAGAAATTTATTCTCTGGAAGATGTCCATTACAAGAGATGCTTGCCCCATCTCAGGCTGGGGGAGCCCTTTGCTGCTGAGCAACATGCTGGGGCTCAGTTTATCCTTGCAAACAGTGGAAATACTGGCCAGATGCCGGGCCGTTAGGGTGCAACAGAAGGCCTTTAGCTGAAATCTGCTTCTTAGTGGATCTAGTAGGGACCATCAAACCAGACCAGAAAAACCACCTGAGCTTGTGCTCCTTTCCTGACCCAAACCTTCCCAGGGATTCTCATTTATTAATTCTCACCTCCACTGCTCCTTGGCAGGCTCCACCAGGGACAAGCTGCCTATAGGAGCTGGTGGGTATTCCCAGGGAAACTGCCAGGAAACCAGCCACACCACCTTCCCAGCCAGTTTAGTGAACAGGGATAGCCTGCAGTAGATGCTGGCAAGCATATTTTAGAAGTAAGTGAGGGAACATGGCTTGGCCACTGTGATCCAAGATGAGCTTAGTCAGGGATAAGGCTTGAGTGCTTCTGGCCCTGCTGGCTGCAGCAGTCCTGTGGCTCTTTGCCTAGCACTGTGCTGCCCTGTGTAATCTCCTGTAAGGACCTAGTATCTCATTGTGACAAACGGCTAGTTGTCTCCCAAACATCAAGCCACAGGTATCCATTTTCAGCTGGAAAAACTGCAGTTAGATCGAATAGTCTTTTGCCTGGCTCTCAGGACAGAGCAGTCAGAGGCTTCGCTGGTAGAAACCCCAGCCAATGTCCTCCATCCATCCAGGCTTGAGTCAGAACGCAGGCAGCTGTATCCCGCGCAGCTCCTCTCCTGCTCTTGTGGTCCTCTGTTAGAGCCGTGGGAGACCTCGGCACTAAATGTCTGCACCGTGGTCTCCACAGGACCTTAATGACAGCCTGACCTGACACCACAGTGAAGGCCAAGCCCATTTCATTTTAGCTAGTTGTGAGTTAAGTAGCTGGGTTAAAATGAACTCTAGATCAAACTAGCCAGCTGCAAACAGGCGTTGAATCTCTTCAGAGATTGAGAAGAGTTCAAATGCAATTTCATTTCCCTTTTCCTGTTTCGGTTTTTGAGTTTGAGGTTCCAGCTAGGATTAAAAGTGGAAATCCTGAAGGCAGCATTTCCAGCACAAGAGAAATCAGTTTCTGGCTTTTAAGAGTCCTCCTACTTGTGCAGTATTTCTGCCCCAATGTACTGACCCAAGAAGACGTACAGATAAACTCAAAGTTTATATGCAAAAAAGCTTATTTACAAGGAACATTAAGCATCCTTAGAGAAAATAGATTGGGGCACAGGTAAGGAGGGGTACCTTAACGACAGCCAGTTGCTGTTCCTGATTAGTAAGCAAATCTTATTACAAGCCTGTCTGTGGCTCGCTGCTTAGACACCGAAAAGAGCCAGTCCCTGTCAAAGTGATGGACGCTGTTCCACAGCCCCTCTTTATCCAGCTATCTTGAAGGATAAAGTCAAGGAGATATTTCAGACTGCAGACCCGGGCATTGCACAGATGTGGGATGTAACATTTCACTGAGAGCGCGCAGGGAGGAGGACAGCTTTCTGGAAGGCGATCAAGTCCAATATAGCAACCGAGAGGCTAAACGTTTGGCCATGTGCTGGGCTTCCAGGAGGTTACCTCAGATCGTCTGGCTCTGGGGTCTCCTACCTGCTTCTGTGCAGCATGGACAGCTTGGCATCCAAATGTGAGTTGTTAGCAAGGTGAAATCAAATACCTGATACACATTTTGGAAGATTACTATTTACATTTTAATGTTTTGGTTTTTTTTTTAATTTAAATGGGAGGAGTTTTCACCTCCTGGGTAATTTAGAAGATGATGGATTTGGTGAAAAAATGTGGCAGACTCAGAAAGATGTGAGATGTGGTTGGTGCCGTGCGTGGCAGGGTCTCTGTGGGGGAGAGTCTGTGTGCACGTGCAGGCACAGGATGCTGCACGGGGACGGCGGGCTGGCCAGCTTTCTACATGCCCCAGCACCGTGTGTCTCACCCGTGCGGAGGAGCGGGTGAGAGGCCAGTCCCCACAGGGCAGGATGGGCACAGGAGACCAGTGATTCTGCGGAGGAGCCAGGAGGCTGCATTGGGAACCCTAGCAGAGCGCCCTGCTTTTACTTCAGTTGCCGTTTCTAGTATTTGGCCTGAAGAGACCATAAGGGGAGGAGGAATTAGGGCTGTTAACAAGAGTAAAATCCATCATAGCTAACAGATGTACTACCTGAGCAACGCCCGTCCATCTGGACTCGCCCTGTCTGCCTGGCATCTTGTCTGTGTGTCCTGTCTCCTGTCTGTAATGTCCTCTGTGTGTAGCAACCCTGTGTGTGTTTCTGTGTATTGAGGTCTTTGGGCATCTGTAGGTACCTACACACACAGAAACGCACCATTGAGCCATAGTAGGCTTGCGCTCAGGCCTGGAAATGGGTTAAGCCTCAGCTTATCAGTGCCGGGACGGTCCCATCCAAGCAGGCCCTGGGTACAAATCCCAGGCTCTGCAGGCTGGGTCCAGGATTTTGGACCCTGTGTGCAGAGCTATGAGCCTGGCAGAGGGATTGCTCCGTGGAGGACACAGCCCTGCAGCAGGACACAGCTCTTTCATCAGACCCCATGCAGGTGGGATGGGGAATCATCACGTCTCTGGTTTTGGGGGTACTTTTCAGGCCTTTCTGGAGTCTGGCAGGAAGGTCCCTCTCAACCCACACCGCTGCTGTCAGATACCACCTCAGACCTTTCCAAAAAGTTTCTTGTTTCCCATCTGAGGGCCACTTCCGTGAAGGGATTGGGACAGGGTGACACCCCACGCCCCTTGTCAGCGTGCCTTGACTCTCTGTGCTCCTGTGACAAGCATCACTCAAGGCGAGGCACCGGCAACGGAGCTCATGGACCCAACACAACAGCAAGGCACTGCAGCCTTCACGACCGGGCTGCAATAAACTCAGCTGAGGCCAGGGCCAGCATGGAAAGAAGGCACTGGGTTTGCCGGTTAACTCTGCTCACATGAGGAAAGAGGTTGAATACATCGTATAAATGCATTTGATGTGGTTTTAAAGGCAGAACTGCACAACGTACTTTTTCATGTGAAGGTAAAAATTCAAGATAAACTAGAATATTTTTCTGACGCAGTCACTACCTCCATCCACTATATCTACTATGTAAATAAGTGTAGTGTAATTTAATAATCCTACAGCTCCTAACCTTTTAATGAGGTCCTCGGAAGACACAGACTGAAAGCAGCCTCCCCAGATTAAAGTTTTTGATTAAAACCACATGGATCGGCTTGATCTCCTCTGCGTTCAGGATACAGGGCCAAATCCAACCCATGTGCATCTGCTGTGAAGCCAGCAGCCGCTGGCCCGCTGAGCAGAGCGCAATGTCGGGTCAAGCGCAGGCAGTACCCTGGGCTTCAAAGGCTGCAAGGGGGGTCTGGGTGACACTGTGCACCGAAAGCAGTGCAGGCAACGCTGGAAAAGCTGGAAATGCCTGAGACAGCCTGGGAGAGGCCCTAGCTGGGGAGCAGAGTGCCTTTCGGTAGCGTCACCGAGTCACTGGTCCCTGGGAAGACCCCAAAAACTGAGAACAAAGGCAAATGCTTTTTCCTGATTTCCACTCTGTACGAGAGGAGCATGGCCACAGCTGTGTTTCTCTGAGGCATTTCCCAACACAGAGCTGAGCGTCTGGGCACTGTAGAAGGAAGAAGCCGGTTTTGTTCTAAGACCCAGCAGAGATGCCTTTCAGAGCACTGACTGTGAGCCTTTCTCTCTAGGGGTGAGCAACCGTGGGCAGCACACAATGGTATTTAAATTAGTCCATCCTCTCAATGCCACTGCCATCTCTGTATCCAGCAGAAACATTTGAGCTGTAACTAAAATTTTGGGCACCACGTATCTGAGTGTTTAGTATTTCTAACTAGGGAATTATCAAACCGTCTTGCTTATTTTTCCAGGCAGCTGCAGGTATAGAGCTACTCTGTGCCAAGCATGCATATAAACCCATTAGGGCTTTCTAATGTTTCATGCAGAGGAGAATAATGAAGGAGCCGTAGCTAGCAATTGTAATGCCAACCTAAATGCTTTTAAGCTAGGAGACAGTGCTTCATTAATTTTCATGTCAGCAGAATCACAAGCAAAGAAGTTTAAATACTCTTCAGAGAGGTGAGGTTCAAGCATTAGCCAACATCTAGAAATGGGGGGCAAGAAAGGACTTGGTTTGCCTTTTGCATATGTTTGATGGTTTCTCCTTTCCTTCCTGCGTTTCCACCAATTCAAACCGTCAGCTGCAGGGATACTTGTCTGTGTTTGATGTAAGTCTGCTAGTTGGCTGATTGGAGTCTCATCCCAGAAACCATTTCCCTGGAGAAACCAGGCACAGCTTGCATTTTGCCTACTGTAATTAATGATGCATTAGATCTTCCCCGTTTGCTGTGCCCACATCCCCATGGTCCGCTGTTCTCCTCATACAGGTTCTCCTGCAGACCCCACGTCTCTGGTCGAGCAGGCTGTAGCAGTAGGTGCGTGCAGTGACCACTTACACCCAAACTGGGGAGAATAACGGTAGTATATTCTCACGAAGAGCTAAAAATGTGTGTCTGAACCGAAAGGAGGTCAGAGCCACTTGCTGTGCTGTTGACTGACGTAAAACTCCTGTTCCTAAAGGGACCGGGAATGAACAGTGACCCAGCAGAGCTGGGAGCCTTGGAGCTCTGAAACGCAGCATCCCTCCTGCTCGGAGGGGGTAGGAGCTGCAGTGAAGCTGTGTGGCTGATCTCTCACTGCTTTTACCCTGCTGCAACCCCTCTGCCTTCATGGGATTGTCCTGACACAACACTAGCATCACCGAGAGCAGACGCTGGCCTGTCCTTCCTGCACACCCCTGCTCACTACCGTTGGCCTCGCATGAGCAGTATCTCCTCTAATGGACATTGCATGGGTTACTGCACTGAGCATGACAGTGTTGTTGCATGTGTTTTGAAGCATTGTCAACTCTATCCCAGACTGTCCTTGTATGTGTCCCCCCTCAAGAAGGTTCTTTTTCATCTGTTAACCTGGCTTCAGGGATGTAGTACATCCCAAATGAGTAAGGCATTTCCTAGAGCTCCCTCATCCCAGGTCAAGTTAAACCTATCCCGGTTCTCCAAGCAACCAGCTGACCAGGCATAGCCAGCACTGAGCACTGACCGAGGGTACAGACAGAGCTCTGAGACACTTGCATGCCATAAAACAGACCCACCTTTATGGCTGGGTGGTTTCTCCATGCTATTTGTGTAGCCAGCACATGTAAAAAGAGAGCTGTGTTGCTGACAGGCAGCCTAGGAAGTTTTCTATTCAGCAGCTTTACTGTGGAAGTGTCTTCTTGGGATTATGCTTTAGAATTATATAAATAGTTCATAAAATGTAATAAATACCTGATCTTTTACTGAATAGTTAATCAATGGCTGCATTTGGGCAGGTTAGAGGGTAGTTGCCATCACCTACAGCCTGTTTTCCATATGTGCTGGTAGTCGGTGTATTCACATGCTGCCCATCACTGCTGATGTTCTTCTGAGATCCATTAATCAACCATTAGTCATTAATAAATAGTCCCTTAATAGAACGTTTGACTGTTTGGGGTATTCTCAGACCTCACAACAAGCTGATTTTTTTGCATTCCCAAGACGACAATTCCAAAAATTTAAAAAAAAAAAAACAGGAAGAAAAAGTATGTCGTAATCCTGAATACACATGAAAGCACATTGTACAGACTTAAATAAATATTATACTGCAATGTTTTTATTATTATCTTTTAGACACACCAGATTAGCTGAGCTCAGTAGCAAAGACAGCCATACCAGTCCAAGATGACTGGTAGGACTAAGGCACGTAAAAGCAACAGAAAAATGTATTAAAAAACAATTGTGTTTGCTTTCATCTTGTTTTTCCACACCCATTAGCAGAAAAAATAAGTCTAGGTGACCCCAGTCAGAAGGAAATGTTTTTCAAATGCCTCCACTCCACTTTTAACTACCAGAAAAAAATAGTAGTTGAAAGAGAGCAACAGATTCAGTTTCCCTTTATCCAATTTATTTTAGGGTTTTGGACTCTAATCTGGCATCAGTTGCACTACCAAAACCCCCACACACATGTCAAGAGTCACTCCATCTGAAAGATATTAGCAAGATGAGAGGAGTGGAAAATGTATTTCGGGGGGTCACTGAGTACTTTTGAACCTATTTCCTTCCCTGTTTTTAAGGTGAGGCAACTCCTTTTTCCCAGCTCCTCATGCATTTAAAGCTGAATTTGCCAAAACATTTGCGAAAAAAAAATCCCTCTCTATTAAGAACAATCCTGCTCTGACTTGGTATGACCTAACATGTCTCTTCCACTTACAAAATCTACAGTAATGCTGACTTTGGCCTTAAGTACACTCTTTGAATATTTACATTTCTGAAGTTTGAAAAGAATTCGACTCCATCCGAGTGCCCACAGCCATCTTGTGGTCATGGTCTAATTTAAGAGAGACACACGCAGTAAATACAACTCAGTCACAGGGCAGTGTCCAAACACTCTCCTTGGAACAGCCCCGGGACCTTGGGCATATGCAGAAATTTCCCCATTTCAAAGAGAAGAAAGGAGGAGTCATGACCAGAGGCAGAGATATAAAATTAATGTGATCATAGCCTGAATGGTTTTTTAGATGCAACCATGTCCTTGTTCTTATATTTCCAGAGGAGCTTGTGCTGACAGTCTTTGTCAAGATGAATGCTGAGTGCCCCACGCCATTGCTGTTGATGCTCTCCTGTGTGCTACTAACCCTAACGCATGTGTCCTCCTTTGCCACAGGCATTGCTATGGTTTCTTTAGACCAAACACACCAAAAGCTTCTGTCACAGAACCTGAGCTCAGGTTATGTTCTTCTTTTACGTGGAACATGCCTGCCATCAGCGGGATTAGGAGAGATGCATATCAGAGTCCAGACCCCTGAGACGGGCCCTCAGCCCTTCCTCTCCAGAAAAGTTGAAGCTTTTCTGGGTTTGAAGCTTTTCTGTTGGCTTCGGGTCTCGTTTCCATCCTGCTTCTTACCCTTCCTGGTTTGGGACAAGAGTCCCATTAAGTGAAGAGCTTGTCCTCTAGCCTGAGACAGAGCAGTAAGAACAGAGCACACTTGGAAGGAGAACGGACCTGGTTGTCAAAGCTATGGAGGTCCCTTCTGCAGGCACAAGAGGTTTGGCTCAGTGTGATAACCCCACTACGGTTCTTGAAGGCCTCGCTGCTAGGAAGAAGCACTTGGCTATTTCATGTGGCTTGCTTACATCAATTCTCCCAAGGGCTTCGCCCTGCATCCGGGGGTGCGTGAGACACAACCCGCAAGCCACAGTGTGATGGCTGCCAACCATGTGGCAGGGCCTGCATTCATTACGCTGCTTTTCTTTGTCTTCTTCTGCAGAAGCCCAGCGCAGGCCTTACTATGCTGACTATTCCCCAGCACGGAAGTACATTCACACCCTCTGCACCAGCCACTATCTCGACCTCTTCATCACGTTCATCATCGGGGTCAATGTCATCACTATGTCAATGGAGCACTACAACCAGCCAAAGGTAAGAGCCACCCGTCGTGTCGGCCATGAAACACAGCAGCATGGGGGAGCAGAGGACCTGAGGACCATACGCTGTTTCCAGTGAGGTCTGCAGCCAGCCCTGCACCCCTGGGACCATTCCCTGTTTGAAAGCCTCGGCAGGCTCCAGGCTCACCATTGCAATCCGCCTAACTCTAGGCCAGCTCTAGCATTTGGGAGTCACTTGCCTCAGCCAAAAGTTTGATTTCCCTGCTCTTGCATAAAAACCAGAGAATAAGGCTAATGGAGAGTGAACTAAACTTTTACTAGGGAAAGACCAGTCCAAATATTTCCTCTCCTGATCCCTAGACGTGACTGACCCTCAGACTGTAAAACAAGCCAGAGTTTTAGAATATTCCATTAACAGATATAAACATAAAGTTAATGCATGCAGAGCAACGTTTCTTTTCCTCAGTGGATTTAGAATAAACCAACTCTTAAGTACAGCCCTTCTTTATGTGTCATAAAATCCTTCTTTCCCAAGAAAACCCTCGGCATAAATCATATAGCCTGTCCATTTGCCGCATATATTAATCTTCCATCACTTTATCATTGACGGAGCTCTAGGCTTAGTGTTTACTTTTCTAGCGTTGCACGGTCTGCCAGGTAACCTGCAAACACCTCCTGGAAGCTAAGCCAGAGGGGCACCAAGCCACAGAGTAACGTGTGTGTATTTTACGCCAGCTGACTGTGTGCTGTTCTGCCCCTGTAATTCCTTTGCATAGCAGCCTTTGTTTCACATGTAAATGTTATTTATCCAGATTAGGTCTTATTTACGCTTGGTTTACATTCATGTAAAACACAGGGATGTAAATCTGAATGCAAACCATCACAAATGACACGAGCATTCAGGCTCAGGCAGTGTGCTTCAGATGAAATAGTAAATTGTGCCACATTCTTTTAAGTTGCCATTTTATTTTAGGCACTGGAATGAAAATAGGGATAGTAGTGCATTGAGGAATGCCAACACCTGATAAACCTTCAGCTCTTGTTCCCAAAAAATCAGTGCATGGTCATCCCACATTATCTGGGGTCAGCAAAGCACAGTCATCACAGAAATGTGATGAGGAGAGCTTTCCTGTGGCCTGAGGTTTCCTCTGTCAACAAAGCAGACATTGCTTTGCAGACTCCTCTATTGCATTTTATTTCCAGTTGTGTCTGTTTTGATGTTCACTGTTATCATTTTTTTCATTGTAAGAGACCTATGCTACATTTAACTTAATTCCCCTCCCTCCTCTCCCCAAATCCCTACCCAACCAAAGAGCTGTTTCGCTCTGCAACTATCTATTTTAAGGTCCCAGCAAGATTCTTTTGCTATTGTTGGCCTACAGCTCCAATGAAATCCATTATAAACACTCATCATCTTAAAGTATAAACACTGCAGATTCCTGACTTCCGAGAGCAGCTCTATAGAGAGCATGAACATTGCACCAAATATGGACATACTTTGCCCAGCTCTAGAGATGTAACATTTTTCAGAAGGCAAGATTTAATCCATCTCCAACGTTATTTATTTTTCTGAGTGTTTTAAGCAAAGCTATTGTCCTAAGGATTGCCACACTGGAATAAAGAAATGATCCATCAAGTCTTTTATTCTACCCAATAGCTAGGCAGATCTGAAGAAGTAAACTTTAGTAGATGGAGAAGGGGTAAAATTTTCTCTCTGACCCAGCTGAACAATTTATCCACTGAAGTTGGAGGATTGATGGCTCTTGACATTTTTAGCACAACTAGTATTAGCGCTTATGAGGTTTTTGTTTGCATCAGTGTCTAATACTTTATTTGAGTTTTGCTGCGTGATTTAGTGCTGTTTTGTAGCTAAGCTCTGCAAGCTGTTATGCCTTGACTTCTTACATCTCTGTGCCTGTGCCACCCTTGTGCCTGCCAGTCCCTCTGCAGGGGCTCTAGGAAAGGATTGCTTGGGCTGGGCTAACTGGCGTCTCTCTTTTCAGTCCCTGGATGAAGCCCTGAAGTACTGCAACTATGTGTTCACCATAGTTTTCGTGTTCGAGGCAGTTCTGAAGTTGGTGGCATTTGGTTTTCGAAGGTTCTTTAAGGACAGGTGAGAGTATTTTAAACTCCTGTGTATTTGGGCTAGAGCTGTATTGACCCAATTTCAAAGCCAGACGCTGGGTAAATGTAGCGTCACTATGATAGTACTACATGCTGTGTGCAAGGAAGAGCAAAGGGCTGTTTCTCCATGGGTGCAGACTTCATAGCGTAGGAACTAAAAAGTTTAAGAACTGCTGGTACTGCTTTTCAGAAGGAATGCAGGAAATGCTACAAAATTCTAGATACATTCTTTCCCCCCAGTATCTGCCTCTCCACCAGGTCTGGCCAGCTCAGCTTCGAGGTCAGAAACAACCTGGTGGCATCAATCCAGTCCTCAAAAGAGTAGTTTTGGCAACGTAAGGTCACAGAGCTCCTCAGAACAAGTCTCCTTTGTGGTCCAAGCCAGTCCTTTGGTAGACCGCTGGCTTTGTAAAGCCTCTGGCAAAGACAGAGGTAGTTGTGTTCAGCCCCACTGCCTTCAGATCCCAGCTGCAGAGACCACTGGATCTTATTCTGCCTCACATTTAGCCAGAAGCAAATGTGTGTGAGAGCACATCATGGTCTGGCAACTTGCTGGGTAGCGGGGTAAGACTGAACAATTTTCCACAAAATTAACTTGTTTTCCTCATTTATCCTGACTGAGAGGTTGGAAGCTGCTACGAACAATATTACTTATGAGGGAAATTGCGTAGGAAAGTCACTGAGTTTCTTCACATCTTACTGTCTTTCTAGTCCTGGTGTGGAAGGCCACCACGCTACAAGTGTTAGGCTATAAATCAATGAAGATACTCAAGTGGAGTCATTCAAGAGACAGGTGACATAACGTGGGAGCAGCTGTATTGCATCACATCTAAGGTCCCTCTAGCCTAGTACCTTGTCCCTGGGAGTGGCTCCAAGTGGAGAGCAGGGGGACGACAGGGACTGGGAAGTAGGCAGGGACACTTCCCAGTCACAGCCTGCCGCAGCTTGTGGCTCAGGGGCTGTCTGTGCCAGAGGCAGTGAGTTGATTTTGTACCACACAGAAGATCACGGGTCCTGATATGAGAAAGGGGAGGCATTTGGGATTTGCTTGCGATTGTGATTAATAGGTAATTTTCTCCTCTTGGGTGTCTGTCCATGTGTGATTTTTATTTCTTTGTCCTTCCTCTCTTTGTCTGTTAGGTGGAATCAGCTGGATTTGGCCATAGTTCTCTTGTCAATTGTGGGAATCACGCTGGAGGAAATTGAGATGAATGCTGCGTTGCCCATCAATCCCACAATAATACGCATCATGCGCGTGCTGAGAATAGCAAGAGGTACGGCCTGCACCGTAGGTCTCCAGCCATCCCTCCAGACACATCAAAAAATGGTTTGGCCATTTGTTCTTCTAGTCCTGCTGTTTCGGTTCGACTTGAGAACGGTTAGGTGATGAGGCTGCAAAATGTCAATTCAGAGACAAGCTAGGTGGGGTTTCATTAGTGTTTCCAGTGGCATCTTAGATTGGTCTCTAATTCCAGCCTGGGAGCACAGACCTCTTATACTGATACCAGGCAAGAGCAGGAAGTGGTGGAGAAAGGAGGATCAGAGCTTGAGATGATGCTCTTCACCGATGAAGTGTCTCCCCATCACTCTCCCATTTTCCTGCTAGGGCATGCTGGAGGACTTCTGGCTTTTGGTCTGTTTTCCTGATGTCCTTAACATTAATTGGTGTGGGAAGTAGTCGGGATGTTCAGATGTTCTGTGGGCCCTGCCAGGATGCAGTGAGCTTGCCATCTGTATGAATAGATGCAAGAGAGATGTAAACCCTCCCTACAAGATCTGAAGCTAGACTTCCTTTATGGGTTTTGCTTGAAATATTTCCCAGCCCTGCTGACCAGGATTTGATTCTCATTGTAGTGCTGAAACTGCTTAAAATGGCCACCGGGATGCGAGCTCTCCTGGACACAGTGGTACAAGCGCTTCCCCAGGTAAGCCCCCAGACTTCATCCATGCCCAGTTTGTTCCCCTTGGTGGACTGTGCCATTCAGGCCTGGGGACAGCTCTGTGCCACCATGTTTGGTGGGCACTAGAAGCCACCTGGGGAGGATATCAGCTCTCTCTGCTGCCACCAGTGCCTTGGTAGCAGAGTTTTTTGCATGGCACATCCTGCTCACTTAGTGTGTGTTAGATAGGAGAACCAGGATGATGGAAAAAGAGATAACAGAGAGCCAATTGCTCGAGGCAGAGCTCTTATAAAACACAGATTTCACTGGCAGGTTCAGGAAACACAAGGATAGACAGAGAAAGTTGTTGGTGAAAGCATTGGAAGTAGACAGCTTCAGTTTTCTTTGTGAGACAGGAGCAACCATGTTTATTGACCCCTATTGACAGAGGAGCTGCAGACTTTAAAAGGGAAATAGGGGAGACATTTCTGGGTGTTAAAATCTCGAAGTGGGGTCTCAAATCACCATATTCTCATAAGCTGCAAAAGCAACAATGATAATGCCAGTCTTAATCATATTTGATAGGATCTTTCAAGTGTTCAGTTCCCGGGACCACTTTTTTATGGATCCATTTCTTTGAAAAAAGAGGGAAAGAAACTTTTTGCTATCTTGCACTCCTCCCTCAAAAAGATCTAAAGCGTGTCAGAAGAACTCCAAGAAGTGTAGGGTTCCTTTGGTTTAAAAATCTTATGCTGTTTAAGCTGTGTTCTGCTAGTTTGTGAGTTTGATGGTCTGAGTCCTAATCTTTCAGTCTTAAGAGCCAGCTCGGCTGCCTACACGTTCCAATTTCATATATTGCCAGGATCCTGTACCACCAGACAGTAGTGGAAACAGTTACTGCCACGCTTTACCCAGAAGTGAGTACCAATATGAGGTGCCAGGCCATCAAGAATGAGGCAGAGGAACTACACAGCCTTCTTCTCTGAGCTGGCAATTCAGAAGCAGCATTTTTTAGGATGCACAAGCATGGTCAGACAAGTCCTTAGTTTTCAACCCCTGCAAAACATCCCACTGCTGAGTCGCTGGAAGGAGCTTTAGGAGTGGGCCCACTCCACTCTGTGTAAAAGGCAGTGTAGTGTGCCCTGGGATGGACTGGGAGCGTCAGGCTTCCCTTCTCCCAGCCCCAGCCCCATAGGCACTGGGAGATGGCAGCGCACCATGGTGGGCCGGTGCATCTTGATCAGCTTCAGCTGTCTGCAGAGGGATCGCATCTCAAAGGCAGGATGATAGCACTGTGGCTTGGCCAGAAGCAGGCAGCGTGTAGGCATCTCTTCCAGAATGTGAGTGGCCATATGAGAATCAGTAGACTATGTGTAATTACCCAAATATACCCCTATGAGTTAGTTGCTAAGTACAAAGAAGCTCGTGATCTATTCAAAATGAACTGGAAAAGAAGAGGCATTTCTTTTTCTTGGAAAGACCCATTTACTTTTCATCACTGCCATGAAGATGTTTCTAATCTGAGACTCTTGCCTTTTGATATTCAGATTTCCTTTTCAGTGAAGAATTTTGGCTGAGACTAAAGCAGGGAATTTACCAACCTGACCCCTGTTTTGGCATTTCAAGAAAGCATTTGATTTGTGTCTATTTCTTTTCTTTCAAAAGCATTGTGATTACAGAGCATATTTTCTCTCTCGCTCTCCTTGTTTTCTCTCCCCCCCAAACAATAGGGTGGCTGCAGGCCAGGCTTTTTGTTTCCTTGGGGTGTTTTTGCAGTTTGCATTCAAACCAAAGTCTCTTTTAAAGGGAAATCCTCAGGCAGGGATATGCCAAGCAGATCTTGTGCAGATAAAAATGCCATTTTGTCCTCCAGTGAAATTCAGAAAATGAGAAGGGAAGTTTGGGAAGACCTCTCTGACAACAATCACTCTTCACAAAGCTACAGCTTTCAGTTCAAAGGCAGGAGAAGAGCTCCTGCCCCAATTAATTTAGCAGCCTAAAACCGCAGCTGGAAAATCCTCATTGAATGTATCTGCTAAGCGACAAGAAAAAATAATTTTATGTTTATTCATTAAGGTTTTGAGGGAAATTCTTTGTCTGGTCTATGTAGAATGTCCATTTATGGGCTTACCATGACAAGGTATTGTCATTGCAGTACACTTTTCTCCTTTCTCCTTTGGGTGATTTTCATCAGCTTCCTATTTGTTTTTATTCAGCAGCATGTGTAGCTTGAGTAACACTTAGAGAACCAACTATCCCCAAACTTGGGGGAATATTAGCATTTTGATCCAGGATTGAAGCTGTCATGGTACAGGCTTAGTCTCCTCTTCTGGAGCTTCAGACTGACCTTGAGCTGCTGTTTTCAATGCAGGAAGACATGTGTAGGTTAATGGTTGGACTAGATGATCTTAAAGGTCTTTTCCAACCTAAACAATTCTATGATTCTAAGACTTCCTACCCTACTGCATCCTCCTTGTCTGGTAACCTCGTGTCTACCAGTTCAGAGATCTTCTCCTCCACCATGTATCTGAAAAAAATGAGATGGAGTAGAGAAGAACAAATGAGGAGAGGCAACAGAGACAGAAAGGATGGTCGGGGAAAGATCTCAAAATGGCACCTTCTTTGCCCACCGCCTCCATGCCCTCTTAGTCCCAGCAAATGTTTGGGATAGTGTGAATCAGTCATCACGTTCCTGCCATAGGCCATCTGTGCTTATCTAGCACTGACTCTTTTACCCACTGCTGCGCAGTCTTGAGGCAGTATCTCCTTTTCAAACTGGAATCCAAGTTTTCCAATTTCACAGCTGGTTGACCAAGAGGTTGAACTAGTAGAGGGGCCATGGTCACCTAGAAAGGCACTGCCAGCCTCAGCTCTGAAGGTGCACCCTCATGGCATGCCCTTTTGGAGAACGAACAAAATCTGTCATGGACTTTAAAGTATGAAGTGCTAAAATCAGCTGCACTGGTGTAAACTTGAAATAGATCCACTGCTTTAAACTGAGCAGCTAAAAAGAGCTGGGCTAGTGTGACCAGCACTGACTTCATCACTTAGACATTGCCAGTCCTAATTAAGCCAGTTCAGTGCTGCCATTCACAGACAGAAAACTCCCCTGTGATCGCAGAGGCCTGCTCCCACCGTAACACAAGGCACACAGCTCTGCACTGACCTTCAACACGCCTTTTGAAAGCCACCCGGTCTTGTTTTAAGGATGCAAAGTATTAGGGATCGGCCATCTCCTATTCATGAAATGCGTTCTTCCAGTAGGTGTTTACTCTTTCTGCTAAAAAAAATCTGGTGTTTTTAGTCTGAATTAGCCAAGTTTATTTTTTCATTGAGTGTAACTTTGCATTTTTTCTGCTATAACTTCTCCTTTTTGGAGGCAATAAGAGATAAAACTCTCTCTTGCAGTCTGGCAAACAGAACAACATTGAACTCCTTTAATCTCTCAGTGTGAAGCAGGTTTTCAAGACCTCTTTCAAGTGTTTTCCTCTTCTTTATGAGCTCTGGCCCCATTAAGGCTATATAATGAATTATACCACTCTTATGCTTCAGCTGAATAGTCCCTTGCTTATACATCTGATGGCTGCATCGGTTTTGTAAGCAATGTCTGCTCCGTAGGACTCCTGTTCGATGGTAATCCTTGAGTCCTTTTCACATCCCCAGCTTCCCAAAGCACAAGTCACCTTTTCTGTAGCATGGCCTGTGCTTTGCTCTCAGATTTGTAACTTTGCTTTTGGCTGCATTAAAATGCTCATTGTGTAAGTGAATCTGCCATACCTAGCAGCCCAGCTCAGTCTGCACAGCACTTCTGGTATCGATTGCCAGTAAGAAAACCTGCAGTCAATGCTAAGCTGCCAGTGCTCTTGCTGACGGAGAGGACAAAGTGGAATCCAGTCCAGTTGCCATCCTGGCTCTGCAGGGCCAACAACAATAAAATGTGGAACTTTCCTATCAAAAGATCTGAGTTCTTTTTCCTTCTTCTTTCTCACTTAGTCTGTGGACGGCACATTAATTAAGTGCAGAACTGTACATTATACCTCCTCTTTGTCTTCAAAGCTTGGAACTCCCCCCAGGTGGACTCTGTGCCAAGAAAAAAGTGAATAACTCCTCATTCTATCAGTGCCTTGAAGGACAGAGCCTGTACTTTGCTCCTGTCCAGGAGTTTAACTCTTTGTGGTGCTGTAATTCCTGAGCTTATCTCAACTTCAGCTCTTGAAGAGGTTTTCTGGCATTGTGTAACAGCAGTTATGGGACATAAACAATAGCCTGCTTTTGCCAGACACTGAAAGCCCACAGTGAATGTGAAGCTCAGAGAGCAAGAATAGAAATGTCTTACCAGCAAGCACCGCAGATGAGACGGAGTCTGGAAGATAGTTATGTGTGTGCTATGCTGCAGAAGAGCAGAGATGCCTGAGAGATTTGAGTAGCGAAGCAGAAATCATTAGGTAAAGAAACCACCATTCTGTGGGCTGTTAGCGCTGGTCTCCGTGGGGCTGAGTGGATACGCAGAAAGGGGAGCGCATTCAGTTCAGCTGGTGGCCTTGTGGTTGCATCAATGAGATGGCTTTAGCCTCCAGGGTTGTCTGTCTGGCCCTTTCCACTAGTCCAGGAATTCACACAGATAGCCTGTGTTTTCCAAGCAGACAAATGTGTCCATTTTCTCGTGGGTTTAGTGCATGAATTAGCCCGTGTTTTCCTGCTGCCAGGCTTATTGCTTTGGTGGAGAGTGCTGGAAGGAAGATGAGGAGGACTCATGTCCTTCGAAAGGATTGGCAGGGGCTTAGTTTTATGAGAAATTGCTCTTGACAGGCATCCCAGGGAGCTGTGTGCATTGCCTGCATGGACAACTGAAATGCCAAGGTGTGGGCCAGTGATGCAGAAATAATTGACGTCGAAGCAGGAGGAGGCACAAGAGGAACTGTCGTGTGCTTCAGCCAGCCATTGCAGGAGTGGGGCAGCAGAAGACATGTATTTCATCAACGCCTCTCCCAGAGCAGGGAGAGTAGAGGCCAGCAGGATCTAGAGGGATTTGGGTAGGATCACATAGCTGACAGTGCCACAGAGAAGCGATAGTGCCCAGGTGGCTGGTGTCCTGTTGTACCTGATCCGTGCAACACATTTGCATATCAAGCTAACACAACCAGGCACAGTTGCTTTGCATGCCAGTGCCTACAGATATGGGCTTTTTACTTAGTGGCATAGGTCAGAGGTTGAACTCGGATGGGACATGCAGTGGTGCTTAGCTACTGCAGTCGCTCTTAGGGGGAGGCAAAAAACTAATAGCAGTGATGTCCACAAGAGCTAAAGCAAAGCCAGCCTCGCCAGGCCTCGCAGGGGCAGCGGGAGAAGGGGTTTGCTGGGTGTGCGGAGAGGAGGGTCGCTTTCCTTGCTGCTGAGCAGGGTCATTCCAAGGCTTTCGCAACGGTAGATCACAGATCCAGCTGGGATGCACCATGGTGAAGGGTGGTAGCTCCTCACACAGGACCTCCCTGCTCCTCTGGGTGGGATGGAGGACTCTGCCTCTCTCCCCACAGCATCCCTCTGTCCCAGGCACACAGGCACTTTTGCCAGCAGTATCATAGAATCACAGAATGCTTTGGGTTGGAAGGGACCTTCAGAGATCATCTAGCCCAACCCCCCTGCCATGAGCAGGGACAGCTTTAACCAGATCAGGGTGCTCACAGCCCCGTCCAACCTGGCCTGGAATGTTGCTGGGGATGGGGCCTCCACTACCTCTCTGGGCAACCTGTGCCAGTGCTTCACCACCCTCATTGTAAAAAATTTCTTTCTAATGTCTAGTCTAAATCTATTATTCTTTAGTTTAAATCCGTTATTCCGTATATGGCAGCCAGGATGCCAGACAGGTCCAGGAGGAATCACAGGTACTCACCAGGGTCTCCATCTTCTCTTGTGGCTTCTCTGATGTTCTTTAGGGCACCAAGAACATCTCCAAGATGCTCTTCAGCTCTGCTTCACTCCCTTACAGGCCACAACTTCCCCTCAACACTGGAGCCACAGCAAATGATGGATAGCCCCTGGCTGCCAGAGAGAAGGGTTATCTGTACTTTTCTCTGCCCGGCCAAAGGCACCAGCCCAAGTCAGGGGGAGTCTGATGGATAAACAGAGCATGGGCTGACCTGTTCAGTGCTGCTAAAGCAGAACCACTTCTCAGAGCCTGCCTGGGTGACTGGCTGCCAAAGCTGAGGTTGCTGACCAGAGCTGGATCTCTGTCCCTGATGCAGAGTCCAGCACAGGCCTCCCAGCCTTTGGCTGCTGGAGAAAAGCGCCTGGATGTGCTCCTACCCCCTCCCATTCCTCCCAGCAACATGATTCATGCACGATCTTTTTCTTGTCTGGTCTCAGTAGATCTCAAAGTGCTTTACAGATATTAATTACCTATCCGCAAGGGTATTACAAATGGGTACGCTGAGTTGCAGGAGAGGAATGACTCACTCAAGGTCACAGACACACATCCAGTCTGCCTTCTCTGCGGCCGCTGGCTGACCTCGCTGCCTCCACCTCAGCCCACTTCCGAGAACACGCCTTGGGTCCTTCCCTGCGCTCAGGCCTTGGTGAAGGCCATGTGCTGAAGAGGACCTTCCTTTCCTCTCCTGAGGGACGTGTACCAGAGAGCCATGGGGTAGCACTGACAAAATATTAATCTGGCAGTGACTTGTACTGATTCAATACAGCCAGAAGGTACACAAATAGACAAGCGGTTTTGCTGAAGCACCTAAGCAAGAGGTGAGCCATTTTGCTCAGCCACATTCTCTTGAGCATGAGGTGTTTGTGGGCTGCTGAGAAACTCATGCCCTCTCCAACCTCACGAGCCACCAACTGCCTGCACATATCCATGTGGATGCCACATCTGCAAGGGGTGGTCAGGGCAGCAGGCTGTTCTTGTGCACATGGGGAGCAACCTGCTTCTTAGCTGACACTCCAGAGCAGCTCTGGATGTCTAGGTACAGGTTGGGCTGGAGTTTAACAGTAAAGGTCGTGCCGTCACCCATCCCAGGATCTTTGACTTGCTGCTGTCTCCCACATCTCTCTTTCATGTAGCCACGTTTCCACATCAGACATTCAGTCACTTCCCAAAAGATCCTGCGCATCGGCTGAGCTTTGGAACTGCCCATGTGTCTGCTCTCAGCCAAGGGCAAATGCAACCTTAGCCACCAGCAAACACTGCATTATCAAATGTGCTTCTGTTAGCATTTTTAGAGTATGCCTATGGCTCGGATGCCTTGAGCCTATACAGCAAACCCATGAGTGTAAACTGGTCTTTGAAGGACTAGTTGTGAGACACGTTGGTTCAGTAATGTAATTAGTCATGATCTTAAATACAGAATCTTTTACAAATTGTTTATGAGCAAATGTCAGCTCATAACATGCTTTGCATGTTGAGAGATAGATAATAGTTTTGACTGATAACCTGGTAATAACTTTGATGTTAGTCTAAATTCTTTGGAATTTCATCAATGCCAGAAGTTTGCAGGCTGATTTATTAGGCATTAAAATCGCAGTAAAATATTCAGCTTATAGGCTTCTTTGAAAAAATTCCAAGACCCTCTTCTGCAGTGCTACAACATCAGGCTTTAATTTACACTCAACCTAGAAAACCTGTTTATCACTTTTATTTTCCTTCTCTTTAATTATTTGCTCATTTGCCTCCCTGGCAGCATGTGTGCGCATTTGTGTGTGTGTGCCCGTTCTCCCGTGTTTTCTAATTTGCAGTCATTTTGCAGCCTGCCTTCTAATGTCTTACAAACCACCAGTGGTCCAGCAGACATGAGTTAGGGAACACTATTCCGGAAGACAGTACATGCAGATGAAATAATCTAGACCAGCCATCCACATCACCGTATTATCTCTATTATTCCCTGGAGTATGGTAATAATGTTAGTGGAATTGCAAAGCTCTATGTGTAGTAGCCAGTTTAGGCTTCATAGCAATTACAGTCTCCACTGGGTGATTTGACTATTCCCATTTCTTTCATACAAAAAAACCCTACTTAGTAAGTGATAGCTGTGTTATTTTATGATAACAGGTATCATACTGATAACCTTTCTAATGAAATTAAGCAGTATGGCCAAAATACCTGGTATACCAACACTGTGTCTGTGCTGCCTCAGAGAAGAACGTTCTCTAAAACTGTAGAGTTCACTAGAAGATACCTTGGAGATCATGAATCCCTCGGCCTGACTGCCTGAATCACCACCTAGTTCATTTTTATGTAGTGATAAAATGATGCTTGTGACGCCATGTCTAATTGGAGAACTCAATTGCTTGCTCTCTGTTACAAGCCGATCGACACAAGGCGTTTAGAAGTGGCAGGAAAGGTAAATGTGACCAGAGTTAGTTGCAGGTAGAATGCAGGTGGTTAGCTGGTCAGATTACTCTGCTCTTCGTGTTCTCTGCCCGAATCACAAAAAAAAATGTGCTCTTTGAGATGTTTTAAAGGCTTAGACCCCATGTAGTGACTGACTCCAGTGCGGATAACTGTATTGCCTTTGTTATTAAGAATCTTTGTGTTCCCTTTAGCATCATTGCAATTCTGTTACCGTCCCCTTCGGCCACCTTGCAGTGCACACTAATACCTAATAGTAGCACACCACGCAGTGTTTGAACTGCAAGGTGCCTGCATTTAAGTGATGGCAGATGGAATAAGGCTTTTCTTTTGAGATACTGAAAACTAAAATTCAGGTAGTTGTTGTTGAGAAATATCTGTAAAGTGGCAAGGCTAGGAGAGCTTTATATCTTACTAGAGCATATGTTCCTTTTCTGAAAGCCCTCCAGGCCAGCGAAACCTTTGAAAACCAGGCAATTCCTCTTGTGGCTCGAGACATGTCTTGTTAATGTCACTGTCTTGAAACCCTCAGCCTTCGTGCTCAGAGTCTCAAACCTGGCAAACAGAAGGGAAAGGCCCTTGAAAGTCAGACCAGAGCACCAGGTCACTTAAACTACCACTGCATTAAAGTGCAGGACTAAGTGCTGCTGAGGCTACAGCTACGGGTTGGCCAAATTACAGATGAAGGCAGCATCCCGCCTAAGTGGAAGGGCGATGGAGAGGCACCAGCCGCAGAGACTGCTTTGCACGTAGGAGCATCTGCTCCTTCCCCAACACAGGAGGCTTCTCTGGGTCTGTTAAAGCAGAACTGTGAAAGGGGACCAGAGTGTTGGAAGCCAGGGGAGATGATGATTAGCCTCTGGCCACCAGTCCCTCTTTTGCTTGTGTTGAAAATGTGATGGAGCAATTTAATTTGTGGCCTCAACTTGCCTGACCCTTGTTCTGCTTTCTCCTTGTGTAGGTAGGGAACCTTGGCCTACTTTTTATGCTCCTGTTTTTTATCTATGCTGCCCTGGGAGTGGAATTGTTTGGCAAGCTAGGTGAGTAATGTGCCTGACACAATTTATTTCATCCGGTTGATGTTTATTTGGTATCTAGCTGTTTCCTTTCTTCTCTCTCTCATTCCTGGGCCTTCCTTAGCTTCACAGCTCGCAGTCTGAAGATCAAAGTTTTCTCTTGATCTCAGGGTCGCAGATGACACATGAGGATGTAATACAGAACCTGTCTAACACGCACACACATTTAGAGATTTGTCCAACACCACCCTTGGCTGTGGAGGAACTATTTACTCTTTAAATATAATTGTCCAGCATGGATATGTTCACAGAGATGGAAGTTTGCTACTTAAGACAGAACACGAGTCTGTAAAGCTGGATGGTAGTCAGATTCGTGCTGGAGAGATGCCACCATAAACATGTCCCTCCTCGGAGCTTCCACCACACTCCTTTAGTTTTCTGCACTTGGCTGACATTGCTCTTCCAGCTGCCCAAGTCTTGTCTGTCCGTTGTTCTTCTCAGCATCACCTTCCCCTTTCTACATAAAACAGGAAGCATCCACTGGTTCCTGATTGTCCAGCATCATTTATTCCTCCGGCTTGAGGATACTGCAGAGCTGATCATGAATGTGTCCACCACTAAAAAGAATATCAGGTGGAGTCAGAGAGAAAACACTATAGCCCTACCTTGCCCAGCTTAGCCAGGCCAAAGCAGTCACGGCCTCTAAACATGCTGTTCGAAGGAGACGTGTCTGCCTTCTCAGTGTTTGCATCCCAATTAGGGCTTCAAGAGCATCAGAAGGGCCCTTCCTCCGTGGTGATTTTATGGCTGTCATTAATCCCCTTTATGAGTCCAGCCCTCTGCTCAGATTACAAATGCCTGAAAGCAGAATATTTCTTTCAACCAAAGACAAATTATTTTTCAATCTCCAACAAATTCTGGAAAAAAAAACTCATTCTGCATCCCCCCCAAATAAAATACTGTGATTTTTGTATTACATATCTAGATATATAGTTATGCATTTGTTCAGCTACAAAGGTGAAAAATGTCTTATTCATAGAGGCACCTTCTGCTGCTCTGAATCCTTTTTGTGTTTCCATGCACACACCTTGCCAATGCCAGCCCCCACAGCACACGGTCAGAGACTGGCAAAACCCTGATCTCATCTGGGGCAAGCTGCAGGCAGTCAGCGCACCGCTTCCCATCCTGATTTAACCGGGAAATACTTTTACTTCTTTTTCCTAATCACTGCTAGTCCATGTCAGGCACAAGAACCATCAGTGCTCGCTCCACAAGCCTGGTCATTTGTGGGTTGTTTTTTTTTTTTCTATTTCCTTTTCTGGTTTTCCTTCCTATTTGCCTCTGAAATAAATGCCTAATAGTTAAATGCTCTTGCAAGAGGCATTGCTGCCTGTCCTAATCAATATTTAATGAGCCTGTGTTTTATGGAAAGAAGGACATTTCATATGTTCAGCTTACATTCATTAGTATATTAATTCTCAGGGGAAAAACTTCAAATTGCTCCACTTTATCTCGGTGAAATATCCATCATGGTAGATGTGCCCTGTAAAAAATAATCAAGACAAGGACGTAATCAGGAGGATAACAGACAAAGGATACTGTAGAGCAGTATTTGTTGAGACACCCCGGCAAGTCTGCTTGTTTCCACCTTCTTTTAGAGCTCCTTGTGTTGGCTCTGCTGTTGGGGTAAAGTCAAGAGAATCACAGAAATGTTGGTGGGAGAGGCCTCTGGAGGCCCCCACCCAGCCTCCCACTTGAAGCCCCATCAGTAGCTCAGAGTAGCCGTGGCTTTGTCCAGCCAAATCTTGAAACCTTCCAACAGCAGAGCTCCCCTAGCTCTCTGGTGACCTGTCCCAGGGCTATTGGGCCCTCCAGATGAAAACAACTTTCCTAATGTCCAACCTGGACCTCCTAAGCCACAGTGTGTTGCTGTCCATTATATCATCTGCCTCCACTGAGAAGAGTTTGGCTACTTGATCACCAGGTGCCCTTCAATAGTTGCAGGCCACCATGAGATCACCACTTAGCAGTCCTCCCTGATGCCATGTATCACCGTGACATATCTCAGGGTCTCACCGCCGGGTTTGGGGGGGCTGCTCTCAATAAGCACTGGCAACCGTGGCTTCACTGACGTGCTTCTGCTTCTCTCTCCTGCAGACTGCAGTGAAGAAAATCCTTGTGAAGGTCTGAGCCGGCACGCAACTTTCACCAACTTTGGCATGGCCTTTCTCACCCTCTTCAGGGTGTCAACAGGGGACAACTGGAATGGTATCATGAAGGTGTGTTCAATCTCTGTTTGAATAGTTTCTTCTCTCTGTAGATAGATAGATACAGATTTCAAACAAATTTAGGCACCTCTTGTGTGAAAACAAAAAAAGGTTTCCTTTTAAAACATCAAAACTAAACTTTCCCATTTGAAAGCCAAGTGTATTTTCAAGGGATAATTTGTCCTAAGTCTCGCCGAACATAAAACTTTGTTCTTTTTAACATATATATATGTAAAATACTTCAGGAACATTATGCCAGTTCTTGTGGCTGAGAGGAGTAACCATGGACTCTATGCCCTGTGCCTTTGGGATGTAACACAATCCTCCTCTTTGCAATTGATGTAATTCATGGTGTCCGTATTTTCTTCTATCCATTTTGTTGCACCTACAAGCTATTGTGTCTGCGATATGTCAAAAAGCTTATGCTTTTGAGTCCTCAGCAGGTTATCTTTGATGTTTCTGTGTTTGGAGCCCAAGCAGAGCCCCAGCCCTTATTAATCCCTCACGTCTCCCTCTCTGTTGCAGGACACTCTCCGGGAATGCACTCGGGAAGACAAGCACTGCCTCAGTTACCTGCCTGTTATCTCTCCTGTCTACTTTGTCACCTTCGTCCTCATCGCACAGTTTGTCCTAGTCAATGTAGTGGTGGCAGTGCTGATGAAGCACTTGGAGGAGAGCAACAAGGAGGCCAAGGAGGATGCTGAGATGGATGCTGAGATCGAGTTGGAGATGTCCAGAGGAGCAACCACCTCAGCCAGCAGCGGGAGCAGGGGAGGTGCAGTGGCCCCGGAGAGCAGGGCACCCTACAGAAGTCAGGAGACCATGAAGTCAGAGTCAGCGGTGCAGGTGAAGCACCAAGCCCTGGTAATAGTTCACACAAAGCATCTGTGCTCTTCTCGTGCTCAGGGGAGGGAGGGGACAGCTCTCACCAGTGACTGCTGTCTGATCATCAGGCAGTCAGATCCCGAGTGACACAGAGCCAAAGAGGCAGGAGACAAGGCAGCGTGGGAGGAAGGCAGCTTTCCCGGGTCCCCCTACGGCAGAGATGTCACCGCCACCTCCACATCTTGAGTCATCTCAGGAGGGCTCCCTGAGGTGGAAGGCTGCTTGAAACGCATTCTCCAGGGCTAATGCTGTCCTGACCGTTGTTCTGGGGGAGGGTTGAAAGTCCATCTCTTGGCATTTCCAGTTCATTCAAAGGTTGTGAATTTTAAGTTCAGAAGCATAATAGCCACAGGTCCCTGTCATGTTCTCCCAGCCAGTACATCGGTTCTTGTCATATTAGCACGGGCAGCAGCACCGGGGACCAATCTCGTAAACCCCACGGAATGCTGGCGCTGTCAGCCCTGACATGTGCAGCAAAGGATGGCATAAATTCCCTTCACACAGACACAGAAATGCTGCTCGGGTTCTTTTTAATCGCAGTTTGGGATTTCCAGAGAAGCCTTGAGCAAATGGTAGCACGCAGCTCAGGAGGGCATGTCTGGCACTGGTGTAAGATGCAGCTTCCCACTGGCTCGTGCTCTGCTTAGGGCATGGCTGACTTGGACCCTGGGAATTGTCAGCAAGAAGCTGGAGGTTCCTGGGTTGATTTTCCAGACGCTGCCTGCTCTCTGATTTCTATTAGTCCTCTAGAAAAAGAGGGCAATCAGAAGTCAGGGGGGAAAGGAGAGACATGAGATAATTGTCTCATCCCATGTCAGCAGCGCATGATTAAGAGTGAATACAAAATTGCTTCGTCACCGTGATCGCAAATAAATCTACTGCAAAATCAATGGGGGATTTGAGATTAAATTACATTAAATTAGATTTTTGTAAAATCTGTCAGACTCTATTAAGTCAAGTGAAAAGATATGTTGTTACACAGCGATGGGGAATTTGCTATTTGAATGTAGCTTCTAATAGACGTTTCTGCAGGAAAATGCACCGTAAACACCCAGGTTGCTTTTCTCACTGGGGAAAGAAAGGGCACATCCTTTCACATAGGCTGTGATTGGAAACTGAGTTCATTCTCCTTGTGTTTTCCTCATCTTCCAGTACCTCCCAAGCACATCAGGAGCCATGCAGAGCCTCCTCTTAGCCCTAGAAAACCCGTAGTGAGAGGTGATGGTCCCCAGAGGGAGAACAGCGTGAGCAGGGAGCTGGCCACAGATTTCCCCCTGCGACTGAGATTGCTCGAATGCAGGCGAGGATTTGCAAGCCAGGGCTCCCCTTCCCCTGGGCGGCAGAGGCACCGCGGCGGGGCTGGGTTGCGGCAATGCCCTCACTCACGTCTCAGACACCCAGGCTGGCCTGGGCAGGCGTGGATGGCTGGCAGCTCAGTGCTGCACTCCCTGCTAGCTGCGCGGAAGAGGTTAAATATGTAGAGTTCTCTATGACTAATCCTGCCACTGATGGTGGCATGGATGTTGCACAAAGGTGTTGCAAGATGCTCTGTATTTTCTTGCCATTTGTGCCAGTTTTTGCAGCCCACATTTCCTTTTGTCTTCCTGCCTGCCCTGGATGAATGGGGCAACTAGGAAATGCCACGGGGCAAATGTGTTCGAGCGTTAAGACCCAGCCTTGCTCTGCTACTGATGCTTTTTATCTCCCCGATTTGAAGGAGGCGCTGAGCTGTGAGAATGTGTCTTTAGCCATCCCAGACTCAGACACGCTGGAGGGGGCAGAGGCTCCCATGATGGAAATCCCGTCCTGCTCTGTTTCCCACCATGTCCTGACACCTTCCCACAAAACCCCAGGCCACGAGGCTGAGGTGAATGACATCGCGCCGTTGCTTCTGCATTGTGGCATTGTGCTTTGGTGCTGTGCGGCTAGCGGTGGTGTCTGAATTGTCCTAAACCTGTCGCTTCACAGCCACAACAGTCGTTTCCATCCTCTGTCCTTCGTACTGCCTTTGCGTATGCAGGGGCTGGGCAAAGAACATGTCCCAGCCAACTCTGCCAGCAGCCTTTTGTGGGACACGAATGAAATGCCCTTTTTAAGCTAAAAAAAGTCTCACATTTGATGTGTGATGTGATGTGTGAGCAGTCTGTCTTCAAATTGTATATCGAGAGCTGGAGGCAGGCAGAGTCCTTTGTGGAGAAAACACAGTTTGGTTTTCTTACTGTTACTATAAGAACCTGTTTATGATACAGTATTGAGGAAAAGGCAGAAGTAGATCAACACGTTAGGCTTTCAGCAGGCACCAGAGCTGGGGATTCAGGAGATGCTCTGGGGAGATCACCCAACAGACCAGAAGGGCTGCAGCCCCCTCTGCTTGGTCCCTCCCAGTTGCACCCACGAACTGGTGCCCAGGTCACATCACGTAAAGATGTTGCACGGTTTGCTCTGCTGCAGCTCAGTGCCCTCCTCGGGGTGAATGGGCTCCAGATGTCCTCGGGTGGGCATGAGAACATGCAGGCCACAGTCAGTGATGAAGATGCACATGCTGCAGTGGGGAGCACACTTGCTGTCATCAGAGAACTTCCAGTGGCCACCCAGAATTAATCCGCTTTAGACTTGGGCCGTTTTCCCCTTTATTTCATCCGTCAGGGGAGGTTTAGATTAGATATTAGGAAAAATGTCTTCACGAAAAGAGTGGCCAAGCATTGGAACAGGCTGCCCAGAGAGGTGGGGGAGCCCGCATCCCTGGAGGGGTTCAAAAAACGGGCAGACGTGGCACTTTGGGACATGGTTTAGTGGGCATGGTGGGGTTGGGTTGATGGTTGAACTGATGATCTTAGAGGTCCTTTCCAACCTTAGTGATTCCTAGTTTTACTCATTATAAAATAATCCAGCCAGCAAGCCAGGAAACATGAAATTAATTATGACTCTGCCCTTAATTGGTTTAGTGGTGGACTTGGTAGTGTTAGGTTAATGGTTGGCCTGGATGATCTTAAAGGTCTTTTCCAACCTAAATGATTCTGTGAGTCTATGATTCTATGATTCTATTACCTGACCTCTATCATGACTTATCAAGGCACCTTCTAGTAGCAAGTGTCTCGCAGCATCTCCAAGCAAATTCTGGGCTCAGATTAAGCTCTTGATGACCAAGCGGTTTCCCCTGTGCAAGATGAGTGATATGAAGGTATGATCCTCCCCTTCATGGCTCTGCAGGGTGTCCATTAGCTTGGCCACCTGGAAGCTGCAGAGACTCAAAGGGAGATCGTAGGGAAGGCATCTTTCAGGGACAGGCAAAATTTGGGACTTCATAAATGAACTGCAAGGGGTCCTGGGTTTCTGCTGGCAGAGCTGAGAGTTTGTTACCTCCACGAGGAATGACAGCACAACCCTGGATGCCACCGGAGCTGGCCTGTGCAGGCATGCCAGCGTTGGCAGGCACAGGCAGGGGGTTGCCTCCTGCCCTTGTTGTGCCTCTGCCTTCCCCACCGCAGAGGCTGCGGGAATCGGCTAAGCTCACTCGCAGTGCTGGAGACGCGCACCTTTGGAGAGGGATCAGGAGGAGCCCTTCCTCTGGGAATTTTGCCCACGGCTTGTTTGCAGGCTCTTGGCTCCAGGCCTCTGAGAAGTTACAGTGTTCCCTCTTCCAGAGTATCCTGCCAGGCACCTTTGCTTACAGAGTATCTTCTGGCCGTTTAATCACCCAGGAAGGGTCATGTCCTGTGGAGGTATTCGCAGATTATTTCTTCTTGAGCTGCCCCCACAGCAGAGCAAAATCAGAGCTCCAACAGCCTATTGATTCCCAGACACAGGAGGAAGGAGTTGTGCTTGCTGATTAAAGATGCTTAACTGAGCCTCTGAGCTGCATCACCACGAGCCTCTACGGTCAATTTAATGCCTTTTTACTTGGCCTTAGAGGGGTCCCACGGCAAGTAGGCTCCCAACTTGCACACCTCTATCAGATGCCTGGGATCCTCCCAAGCTCTCAGGGTGCCTGCAGGCAGGGTTCACCATACGCAGTCTCAGCAGCACTGGTCCAGGTTGGGCTTTCATGGCTTTTGAAGGAGCCACGTTGATTTCCAGGGCATGGGATCAGGCTCCTGAGTGCATCAGGCGTTTCCCACTGAAGAGGAGGAGCAGCAGTGCCCATGGTGGTGTGTCTCCAAACCTTCCTAGCTGTCGAGAGCAGATCACTAGGTGTGAGCTTCCCGTCCATGTTTCATATTTCAGGCACTTACTAGAGTGGCTTTGAAGCCATTTGAAATGTGCCCATGTCCCTACGTCAATTGGGTCTCAATAGCTGAAACCTTAAAAATTGCAGTTGTTTATGTCAAGAGGAGATTTCTGTTCATTTGTCCCAGCCAGAGAAGACAAATACAAGATCCTGTAAAGACGAACTGAGATTTAATAGACAAATACAATGATCCTTCTGTTAGAATACCCAGAAAGTGGAGCAAGACCTTTTGTTCTCTGTGTGGCACCGGGGTGTTAACAATCGCCCGCCTGCATTCAGCTCAGGTGTTGCGATGCTGGTAGCTTATTAGCTGTAATGGCCAGAGGCCAGCTGGCACAGCCCCGCTGCCGATGCATTAATATATCAGAGGAGAGACCTGGGTTGCACCCGGAGGGCTGCTGGGCAAGGCAGCAGTCAGCGCTGGATGCCAACTACCTGTAAATAACTGCTGCTGATCCCCCCCATCTTCTCAGCCAAGCTCAACAGGGTAAAAGCATCGAGTAATTTGTCTCGGGATGTGTCTCTTTAGGGAGCTGAGGAAATAAATTTGTAAGCCAGAAATGTATGGAAAAAACACATTTAACCAGATCCTTGGTGACCTCCAAACTATCCAGCGAGGGATCTCGGGCCCGGATTTTGCTAGCAGAGAGGGAAAACAGCCCGGCAGAGCAAAGCAAAATACATTTAATTTAAGACACGCAGCTGGGAAAATGTTTTCAATCAGTCACTGGGAGGCTGACATTAAAGGAAAACCAGAGCGATTAGTCGTACTTTAGATAACGTGATAAATTGTGAGGGGAACGTGTCTAGGACCAAAACCTCGGGGCCAGGAGCCAGGTTGCAGGTCCTGTTCCAAGGGCTCCCACTCCCCCAACACTTGGCCAAGTCGTGGCACCACCTCTCACAGCTGCTCCGTCAGCACCGTGGAGCCATCGTTTGAGTTCCTAAAGCTTCCAAAGACCCCAGGATAAACTTGCTATAAAGTACCTGAAGTGATGAGGGCCTCAGAGAAGCAGAGGGGTCAAGTTTAAGGTTTGTGACGTGCTCTGTCCGGGCACTTCCAACCAGACCCATTTCACAACAAAAGGAAACACAGAAAAATGTCTTTTCTACCCCCGAACAGGCTCCACACCCACATATGTGCTGCCACGATGTGTTCTCCTTCCCTCTGCCTCCTGCCATGTGGCTGTCTTCTTCTGGGGTCAGCGGTGCCCACGTTGTAGGAGAGAGGCCGCAGGTTTTGCAGTGGTGTTATCGTGTATGTTTAAATGTCTGCCTGTATGTGTGTTTTGGGGAGATAATACATGAATTTCCAGAAACGCTTGGTACCCTCGGTCAGCGTGGCCGAGGGACTGGCCAGTTTTACCCATCTGTCCCAGAGTAGCTTTGAGGAGAAGGGCATCACCAGCCAGGCCGGGCTGAAAGCATCCCTGGGAAAACCAGAGCAGAACAGTGTGAGGAATGCTGGCTTTCTCATGTGTTTAGAGGGTGGGCCCCATTTTCCTGGACCTTACTTTTTCTCTGCGGTGTCCAAGAGTCAGCTTAGTGGCGGGTCCTTGGTGCCTCATTTTACTCCAGCCGCAACTTGAGCTCTTTACTCAGCTAGCACAGTGTAGCTTTGGTATCCCATTGCAGTCACCAGGGCTGCAGACTCTCTGAGAGACGCCAAGAGGAACATCTGCACAAGGTTTTAAAACAAAGAGCAGACGAGAAGGAGATTGCTGTAAATTCACCACCAAGATGCTGAATGACCCCGTCTCCTTGCTTTGCAGGGCGGCGCAGCCTCTCTGAGGCCACAGGACCCTCAAAACCTGCTGACAGTCCGCAAGATCTCCGTTTCCCGTATGCACTCCTTGCCCAACGACAGCTACATGTTCCGGCCGGTGATGCCAGCGAAAGCCCCCTTCCCCCTCCATGAGGTGGAGATGGAAACGTATCCCTGCAAATCCCAAAGAGGTACTGCTCGTGGAGTTTTCCCTTCCTCCTCCTAGCCAAAACCATGGGGCAGCGGGTACACGTGGTTAGATGGGGAGTAAGCAACCCGTGCCGAATGTGGGCTGAGCCAGGGCTAGCTTCGATTTGATACCATCAGCAGGACTGCAGTTTCCCACGCATTGCACAATTTTGTGGTTTTTATCACGTCGCTGCATTTTTCTCAGGAGGAAGCTGGCATCTTGAGCGCTTGACTGGGGAGAAGTGGGGCTCCCAAGCAATGCCGGAGGTGTAGAGGACAGGCTGTTAGCTGAGGAAAAGGGTACGAGCTGCACATTTCTTCTGAAGTGGTCAGCCCTGACATCATGACTACGAATCAATAAAATCAACATGAATAAAAGCCGGAGTCGGTATTACTTCCTGACAGAGCTCCTTTACAGCTATTGTTTCAGGCAGTCTTCAGTCTCAGGGCAGTATCTTTTTAGCATGGTACATGGAGTTCAAAGATGCAGGAGTTTGTTTGGGAGCATAAAGATTAGAAACCACTCCCCAGTGCCTCCCTAGCCTGGCCTTATAATGGATCTTGTGGAGAGACCCCGCAGTCAGGGAATCACGAGCTACACAGAGCCTTCGAGTATACATTTACCCACTGCATCCAAATACATTTCCCCTAAAATGCCTTTCTATCTCTTTTGTTGTGCAAGTTGGTTTGAAGGGGAAATCAATAAGAAAGAAAATATCTGCCTCCCTAAAAGCATGTGTGCTTCTTGAGTGGCTCCCAAGAACTTACCAGCCTGGTTTCCTTTGATGCAACGTTGTTTGAAATGCAAGAACTGCTTGGACAGATGAGTAGTGGGTTTGTAAACCCTGGTGGGACTGGCAAGATCTGCTCTGATTTCCTTGGGTGAAGTAACTCTGTGTTTGTTCAAACTCTCTGGATACCAGTTAATGTTCTCTGCTCAGTATTTATTATTATTTCACCTGCAAATTCTTTGCTAAGCAAAGAAAACAGAGGTTGAGTTTCATGGCTGGACTACTGGGGATGGTTTTCATCTCTGTAGTGGGTGTAAATCAGGATTTATACCAGTATAAAACTGCTGTGATGTTGGCAGGGGTGGGTAGAACTGACCAAAAATTTTCTCACGTTTCCCAAATTTCTCTCCAAGAGCACCTGAGCGATGGATATGACAGGGGCTTCCTTTTTACCTGGTCTGGTGGATGCATCCAGCCAGCATCGCCCAGAGCTGTGCTGCTTCTGAGCCGACCAAACTCTGATTTAAGTCACAGTCCCGTAAGTTAGGTGCAAGTAAAACTGAGCACGTAGGGATACTCACATCGGCATTTGTGCTTTCATGGACTTTTCAATGTCAGTTAAGGATGTCTGGTCTTCTCCCAACACTTGGGTGTCTACACAGTGAAAATATTGTGAGATGACCAGGTCTTGTGTTACTTTGTTCTTAGATGAAGTTTCCTGATTTACTAGAGAAACAAGAGAAAAATACACATATCCAGAGATATTCTGTGTTCCTGAGTATGCACTTTAGAGGGGTTTTTGGTTTCCTATACGAGAGCTAGATGGAAAGTTTCCAACAGAAGGAAATTCCAGCTAGGGACGGGGAGGAGAGCATGGGGTTTTGCTTTTATGACCATGTTTGTGACAGATTTTATGACAAAGTTTTTGTGCACCATAAAAAATATTCTGCAAAGCCTGGATTAGCACATGAACAGTACAGACTCGCACTGAAACACTGGCTGTAGGAGAGCCCAAAAAAGAACTAGGGAGAAGTGGGGCAGGTTGGGGGGTAGGAAGCTTGCTGCTCTGCTCTTTCTGTGGTGTTCTGAAGACAAGCTCCAAAAGAAAAATGATTAAACACTAACATTTCTTTCTTCCCAACAACAAATCTCTTTCTGAAATGCAACTGCAATCTGTCTGGATGGCTTTTGTCATAGGTTCAAGTTCCCTGACCTCTGGGCGAGATCTCTTGAAGTGATGGATAGCTGTGTTTTTAACGCGGAGCAGCAATGTAGAAACAGACGTTGCGTTTCAAGTTAATGAGGATAATAAATCCTGCAGCCAAAAAAATAAAAAAGCAAAAAATCTTTCAAACAACGCAGAGCTGCAGTAAAGCAGCACCATGAAGGGGCTGGGGAGGAGGGATTGCCTTTAGACTCAGCCAGGGGACTGGGAGCCTTCAGGAAGAGAGTGATTCCTGCCTGATACATGAGCTCAGGGATTGTCCAAGCACTTGAGGCGGTCTCCGTGCTGCTGATCGGACCATGTTCAGCCAAGGTCTGCCTCATGGACAGACGGTGGTAGTAGCATTTGGGCTGTAGGGAATGGGAAAACTGCCCTGCGCATGCCAGCGGTGTCTTCTCCCAGAGGAGTTGGTGGCAGGGTGCCCGCTGGCCGTACGAGGCTGTAGGTTGGACCTACAAGTTGAGCTCTGGAGGCTCTGAGGGAGTTGGGCAGTGCTGCTCTTGCCTCCACGTGGCACAGCAACGTAAGGTCGCAAGCCCATCCCTGGCAGCACTGCAAGGACAACCCAGGCGTCCTGACTGAGAGGATCCGGCACAGCCACCAGAATTCCCCGATCCATGTTCTCCAAACAGGCAACATCCTTCTACAAATCCACCCAAAGCAATGCTACCAGGAAAGCAGCAATGGCAGGGTTGCAAATGCAACCCTACCTCATAGAATAGAATCACAGAAACATAGAATGATAGAATCGTTTAGGTTGGAAAAGACCTTTAAGATCATCCAGGCCAACCATTAACCTAACACTGCCAAGTCCACCACTAAACCAATTAAGGGGCGAGGAATAATTTCATGTTTCCTGGCTTGCTGGCTGGATTATTTTTTAATGAAAGTAAAAACTAGGAATCATTAAGGCTGGAAAGGATATCTAAGATCATCAGCCCAACCATCAACCCAACCCCACCATGCCCACTAAACCATGTCCCAAAGTGCCACGTCTGCCCGTTTTTTGAACAATTCCAGGGATGGGGACTCCCCCACCTCTCTGGGCAGCCTGTTCCAATGCTT